ATCAGCACAGCTTTGGGGATGAAGAGAAACTGTTTTTGGTTTTTGTAACGTTAATTCCTTTGAATCCGGAGCGATAGCACAGCGGGTAGGGCGTTCGCCTTACAAGCGGCCAACATGGCCGACCCGAGTTCGATTCCTCTGCCCCTCTCGGAGAGCCCGGCAAGCTACCGAGAGTATTTGATATGCCAGACACAGTAACAATAAAGTCTCCAATGGAGACGTTACTGGGCCCGCTCGAGCAAATCGACGATCAACGGGAGGGCCTTTTTTTCCTTTGAATATTTTATATGTAGCTATTCCATATTTTACAGATTGAATATCTGAAGTTTATTTTGTGGAAAGAGGGTACCTAAATCTCTATTTTTTTCCTAGTCATAGTGATTTCCTCTTTTGATTGTTGATCTCTAAACGTGAACTTTTTTTAATTTTTTTTTTTTATAAATTTTTTTTTTATTTATTGAATCACCTTGGGAAAGGTTACAAAGCTTTCAGGTTTAGGTCTCAGTCATGCAAATATCAAACACATTTCCCTTTACCAATACTTTTTTTTTACCATGAAGAACCCCAATAAAACCCCACCCCCCACCCCTCCCAGTCCCTGTGGGGCAGATGAATTCTAGTTAACACTCTATCTGCTTTGATTAGATTCATTGTTTCAATAAAAGATTCACCACTATAATTTAGAGTTTACCCCCCCCCCCCAAATCAGACATGCTGAAAAAGCATTGTGACGTGATTTGCTTTCTACAGCTGGGTTCAAGAATTAAATGTTGGTTTTGGATTTCTGCTATTTTACTTATTGACCCTGGAAGTATTTATACTGAAAGTCAGATAGTTAAGAAATTGGTTTCTGTGCTCTGGAGTCGTGGCCGTGCTGGAGAGCCGCTAGTGGGGGGCAACTGGTGGCCTCGGTAGGGCGTGAAGGGCGGACCGAAACACCCCCTTCCCATGAGGTTTTAGTCGCCCCCCCACTCCCCCGGCTCATACCTGCTGTCCACAAGGCTCCCATGCGGCCGCCATCTTTCTTTCCAGAGAGGAGAAGGCGACTGGGGCAACACCCTTTCCCCCCACCCGGACAGACATGATGGCCTGGATTAACGCATAGTCCTTTCACTTTTCTGCTCCAAGCTGCCGGGTTCTGCATTAAGTCCCTGTGCTTCTGGGGCTGTGGCCGTGCTGGAGAGCCGCTCGCGGGGGGCAACTGGTGGCCTCGGTAGGGCGTGAAGGACGGACCGGAACGCCCCCCTTCCCATGAGGTTTTAGTCGTCCCCACACCCCTGGCTCATACCTGCTGTCCACAAGGCTCCCATGTGGCCGCCACCTTTCTTTCCAGAGGGAGGAGGGCGGAAGGGACTAACACCCTTTCCCCTCCAGGCAGACATGATGGCCTGGATTAACGCATAGTCCTTTCACTTTTCTGCTCCAAGCTGCTGGGTTCTGCATTAAGTCCTTGTGCTTCTGGGGCTGTGGCCGTGCTGGAGAGCCGTTCATGGGGGGCAACTGGTGACCTCGGTAGGGCGTGAAGGACGGACCGGAACGCCCCCCTTCCCATGAGGTTTTAGTCGCCCCCACACCCCCGGCTCATACCTGCTGTCCACAAGGCTCCCATGCGGCCGCCATCCTTCTTTCCAGAGAAGAGAGGGCGAATGGGGCAACACCCTTTCCCCTCTGGCAGACTTGATGGCCTGGATTAATGCATAGTCCTTTCACTTTTCTGCTCCAAGCTGCTGGGTTCTGCATTAAGTCTTTGTGCTTCTGGGGCTGTGGCCGTGCTGGAGAGCCGCTCATGGGGGGCAACTGGTGGCCTCGGTAGGGTGTGAAGGACGGACCGGAACGCCCCCCTTCCCATGAGGTTTTAGTCGCCCCCACTCCCCCGGCTCATGCCTGCTGTCCACAAGGCTCCCATGTGGCCGCCATCTTTCTTTCCAGAGAGGAGAGGGCGAATGGGGCAACACCCTTTCCCCTCCAGCAGATTTGATGGCCTGGATTAACGCATAGTCCGTTCACTTTTCTGCTCCAAGCTGTTGGGTTCTGCATTAAATCCTTGTGTTTCTGGGGCTGTGGCCGTGCTGGAGAGCCACTCGTGGGGGGCAACTGGTGGCCTCGGTAGGGCGTGAAGGACGGACCGGAACGCCCCCCTTCCCATGAGGTTTTAGTCGCCCCCACACCCCTGGCTCATACCTGCTGTCCACAAGGCTCCCATGTGGCCGCCACCTTTCTTTCCAGAGGGAGGAGGGCGGAAGGGACCAACACCCTTTCCCCTCCGGGCAGACATGATGGCCTGGATTAACGCATAGTCCTTTCACTTTTCTGCTCCAAGCTGCTGGGTTCTGCATTAAGTCCTTGTGCTTCTGGGGCTGTGGCCGTGCTGGAGAGCCGCTCGTGGGGGGCAACTGGTGGCCTCGGTAGGGCGTGAAGGACGGACCGGAGCGTCCCCCTTCCCATGAGGTTTTAGTCGCCCCCGCTCCCCCGGCTCATGCCTGCTGTCCACAAGGCTCCCATGTGGCCGCCATCTTTCTTTCCAGAGAGGAGAGGGCGAATGGGGCAACACCCTTTCCCCTCCAGCAGATTTGATGGCCTGGATTAACGCATAGTCCGTTCACTTTTCTGCTCCAAGCTGTTGGGTTCTGCATTAAGTCCTTGTGCTTCTGGGGCTGTGGCCGTGCTGGAGAGCCGCTCGTGGGGGGCAACTGGTGGCCTCGGTAGGGCGTGAAGGATGGACCGGAACGCCCCCCTTCCCATGAGGTTTTAGTCGCCCCCACACCCCCGGCTCATACCTGCTGTCCACAAGGCTCCCATGTGGCCGCCACCTTTCTTTCCAGAGGGGGGAGGGCGGAAGGGACCAACACCCTTTCCCCTCTGGCAGACTTGATGGCCTGGGTTAACATATAACCCGTTCACTTTTCTGCTCCAAGCTGCTGGGTTATGCATTAAGTACTTGTGTTTCTGGGGCTGTGGCCGTGCTCAAAGCTTAACTATGATTTTCAGAGAGAAACGTTAGGTGGTTTACTTCCCATGGATCACTTTGTATATAGAGAGATGTCACGCGGCCGCATAAGCGGCCGGGCGGTTTTGAGGAAAAGTCCTAGTTCCCGCATACTCGAGCTGTGCTTGTAGAGGTTTCTGGTCACCGGGGTTCCATCTGGGGGAGGCGGGATGCGGTACCTACCCCATCTGGGACTTCCCGATGATCTCGGCTCTTTTTGGAACCTGTTTTTTTTTTTTTTCCTTCGGGATCTGTGGATCCCGCCCTCCATGTTGTCCTTCTCTTCGGCTAAATGCTGTCAAGATGGCGCTGGGGGGCGGGCTGTGGGCGTGACTTCCGGAATCTGAGGTTACCTGGGAGGTGTAGTCCCGGCATTTTTGAGGAAAAGTCCTAGTTCCCGCATACTCGAGCTGTGCTTGTAGAGGTTTCTGGTCACCGGGGTTCCATCTGGGGGAGGCGGGATGCGGCACCTACCCCATCTGGGACTTCCCGATGATCTCGGCTCTTTTTGGAACCTGTTTTTTTTTTTTTTCCTTCGGGATCTGTGGATCCCGCCCTCCATGTTGTCCTTCTCTTCGGCTAAAATCTTTTTTAATTTTTTAATGAATCACCATGAGGTACAGTTACAGACTTACAAACTTTGGTACTTATGTTTCAGTCATACATTGACTGAAACCCATCCCTCCACCAGTGCACATTCTCCACCCCAATATTTCCAGTATCCCTTCCCACCCCCCACCTTGCATCTGTGGTGGGCACATTCCCTTTTTCTCTCTCTCTCCTTTTGGTTGTTATGGTTTGCAGTACAGGTATTAACTGGCCATTATGTTTGGTCTGTAGTCTACTTTCAGCACTCGTCTCTCATCCTGAGCGAGCCCTTCAAGCATCCTTTACTTGTTATCTGAGCTGCCTTTTTCCCCAGCATGTGAGGCCTGCTTCCAAGCCATGGAGCAATTGTATCTCTACTATCCTTGGGTGTTAGTTTCCCGTTATGTTACTTTATATTCCAAAACTGAGTGCATTCTTCCTGTGTCTTCCCTCTCTTTCTGACTCACTTCACTTAGCATGGTACTCTCCATGTCAATCCACTTATATGCAAATTTCATGACTTCATCTTTTCTAACGGCTGCTTAGTATTCTATGGTGCAGATGTACCAGAGTTTCTTTAACCAGTCATCTGTTCTTGGCACTCGGGTTTTTTCCAGATTCTGGTTATTGTAAACATACAAGTGCAGAAATCATTTCTACTGTACCTTTTTGCATCTCTTGAATATATTCCCATAATATATTCCCATAAGTGGTACTGCTGGATCAAATGGAAGCGCAATTTGTAATTTTTTGAGAAACATCCATATTGTTTTCAAAAGGGCTGGACATGTCGGCATTCCCACCAGCAGTGAAGGAGAGTCCTCTTTTCCCCACATCCGCGCCAAAGTATTCCTGTGAAGGATTTTGAAGTTGCAACTGATTCAGACTAGTTTGATTCTTTTTGATAGTTATAGAATGGAGAATTTCAATGGAATGATTTTAGTATTTAATGATACCAACTTATTAAATCCCATCCCAGAAAACATGTAAGTCTGGTAGTTGACAAGCGCTGTTATTGAGGATGGTAAAGGTAAAGGTAAAGGCCCTCCCGTTGATCGTCGATTTGCTCAAGCGGGCCCAGTAACGTCTCCATTGGAGACTTTGTTGTTACTGTGTTTGGCATATCGAATACTCTCGGTAGCTTGCCGGGCTCTGCGAGAGGGGCGGAGGAATCGAACTCGGGTCGGCCATGTTGGCTGTTTGTAAGGCGAACGCCCTACCCGCTGTGCTATCGCTCCAGCGATGAGGATGATTTCATCTAATTTTATAAGGACATTCCAGTGTCTTTTTATGTTTTTATTATAATTTTTTATGATTTTATTATAATTTTTTATCCTCATTCTATTAAATACAAATTTCCATCCCCTCCTCCTCTTGTTGGGTGTGTCCTTTTTCTGTTCACTAAAGGTAGTTTTTCTCTTTCTAGGAGGGCATATACTGCATCTCTGGGAGAAACAGCAGTTGCATTTGATTTTGGGCCATTGGCAACAATCTCCAAGAATATGTTTGGACAAAAAGGCAAAGAGGAAGTAGTGGCGTACCCATTATACATCTTATATGAGAACGGAGAGACTTTCCTGACGTATATTAGTCTATTACACAGGTAAGTTGAGTTATCCTATTTGAGATGAAACTGAGCTTTTGCTACTGGATAGATTTGTGTTGTTGTTTTTTTTCTTTTTCTTTTTCTTTTTTTGTTTTTTGCTTTTTGGGTCACACCCAGCGATGCACAGGCGTAACTCCTGATTCATGCACTCAGGAATTACTCCTGGCCGTGCTTGGGGGACCATATGGGATGCTGGGAATTGAACCCGGGTCAGGCCACTTGCAAGGCAAATGCTCTACCTGCTGTGCTATCACTCCAGTCCCTAGATTTTTGTTATGGTTAGACTGAACTTGATGTTTTTGAATTCGTGAAAGTGTTAGGGCCTTTTGATACTTGGCTTAAATATTTTGGAGAGTGTTGAAGCAATAGTAAAGCAGCTAGGGCATTTTCTTTGCGCATGACTGACCTGAGTTCAATCCCTGACACCTGCGTATGGTTCTCTGAGTCCCACCAGGTGTGATTGCTGAGTGCAGAGCCAGGAGCAAGCCCTGAGCACTGCTGCGTGTGGCCCCACAACAAAACTAAAACAATAAATTTGGAGAAAGTTGGTGTATATCATTTTAGCTTTCGTTTCTTCGTGTATGGGAAAATTCGGGGTCTGGGGGTTCATTTCTTTGAGTGTACCCTGCACTGCTCAGAGCTTTCTCCTGGCTCTGTGTTCTGAGATCACTTCTGGCAGCCTTGGCGGACCTTATGGAGTTCTAGGGATCAATCCTGGGTGGACTACATGCAAGACAGGTGCCTAACCTGCTGTACAATCACTGTGGCCCCTGTTTGGGGAAATTCTATAGAATGCTTCGATAATCACTGAAAATAGACTAGATTTATTTTCACAAAGTTAGCTATAAAAAGTATTATATTATGATATGAATAAGGGAAGTTTTGAAATGGTTGGTAACATGATAATTTGATATGTCCCAGATATGAGAGAAAAAATACATATGCATGTATATATCATGTATACAAGAAAAGATAATTATTCATATCAGAGTCGTGGTACAAGATAGCAAAAATGCTTTGGAAGGAGAGATTGTTCTCTCACCAAAGAAGGTAAATTTTTCGTAAAGAGAAACTAATGTTATATGGGATTTAAAGGATGTCATGCAGTATTAAATGAAGCACCAAGGATGGGTAAGACTACTTTAGACATAGGGCAACAGGAAGGAGAATATGAAAATAAGTGCTGAGAATCATTTATAGTTTAGTGAGTTGGCATTTGGGCTAGAGCAGAGGATTCATGTAGGGGACATTATGTGATAAAGTTGTAAGTACCCACCCAGGGTGAGTGGAATTAAACACTTAGTTAATGAAAGTGGAGTATTTTCTGTAGGAATATGGTAACAGGAAGCCAATAATGTTTTCTAAATAGGAAAAAGATAAAACTCTGGGGGCCAGAGAGAGTACTGTGGGTAGGGTTTTTCCTTGGGTTCAATACCCTGCACAACACATGGTTCCCTCAGCATCTCCAGGAGGGATACCTAAGCACAGAGACAGGAGTGAGTCTTGTGCACAGCCCATTGAGACCCAAAACAAACAAAAAAATTGTTTTAATGGAAAAAAAATATATAGCAGTGTTATAAAGAAGGAACTGGGACACAGACTTTGAAGGAAGTTCATGCAAAATTTAGCCTAGGTTCTATGAGTCTGAACTACAAGAGTTTTATTGTAATGCAAGGAGAGAAACCAATATAGTAGACACTATGAAGGAAGGATCATTAAACTTTATTATTTGGAGACTGGAGAGATAGTTCAGAGGGTGAGTTTGCACATGGCCACCCTCTGTTCCTGGGCACCACAAGAGTACATGAGCACAGAGCCAGGAGAAGTCCCTGAGTACAGCAAGGGCCCAGAAAGCCCCCTAAGACCAAAACAGAAGAAAAAAAAATGGGAAACACAAAAGACTTCATTACTGGGCCAGGGATCTGGCTCAGTGGGTAAAGCACATGCCTTGAATGCATAAACCTGGGTTTGATTCCCAACACTGCAATTATCAATAAAAGACAATTACTATTTGAATAAGGAAATGAGCAATTAACAGAAATTTCTACCTCATGCATAGCGACTCGTTTATGGAACATTCATTTATTTCTACAAATCCAAACTCAGTTTTAACATGGTTGGACCAGTAGAGGGGAACCACTTTGCCAATGGTTGGAAAAAACACTGGAGAAGATAAAGACAACAAAAATAAGAGGGAAAACATCTATCTTTGTGAAAGTTAAAGGTAGATAGAGAATAAGATTTTGTGTTTATTTTATTTTGGGCCACATTCTGCAGTGCCCTTATTTTATTTTCTGCTTAGGCTCTCTCTCTCTCTCTCTCTCTCTCTCCCCCTCCCTCCCTCCCTTTCTCTCCCCCTCCCCCTGTGTCCTTCTCCCTCTCCCTCTTCCCCCCCCCCCCCTTTTGAGTCATTCCCAGCGATGCTCAGGGATTATTCCTGGATCTGCATTCAGGAATTACTCCTGGTGCTTTGGGGACCATATGGAACCTCAGGGATTGAACCCGGGCCAACCACGTGTGTGGCAAACACCCACATGCTGTACTACCACTCTGGCCCCTAGATCATTCTTTTCTTAAATAGAAGCTGAATCCTGTTTTGGTCTCCTTCATGTTACCCTTTTCACTACTACCAGATTAGTTTTAATAATCTTAGTGCTATATTACCCCTACTTTAAACTCTGGTGGCACACTGTTACCCCACAGATAGACTCTTAAGTGCTTTAATAAGACATGCCAACCTGCTTTGTAAGCCAGTCCTGAATAGTATCAGACTATTTTTCTGTTTCCTTAGATCTTGAAACTTCACATCCCATCATATTCCCGTTGTTTTTGATTCCTTCAGGATTTCATGTTCATTAATTTTAAATGTTTATTTACCACATCTCTCTCCATTGATACTGTTTAATTCTCTTTTTTAATGTAGGAGTATTGCTATTTATTCAGCCATTGGTTAAGCTGATTGAACTCCACATTAGTTTTTTTAAAAAACTTTTTTTAATTGGATATGCATGAGACAGACTATTACGAAGCTGTTCATAATTGGGTTTCAGTTATACAATGATCCAGCACCCATCCCTCCACCAGTGCACACCTCCCACCACCAATGTCCCCTATCTCCCTACCACTGTTCCCCCACTCCCTACCCCAGCCTCCCTCTATGGGAGTCACTTCCCTTCTTGCTCTCTCTCTATCCTTTTCCTGTTATGCATTATGGTTTGCAATAAAGGTGCTCAGAGGTCATGGTGTTTGTTCAGGACATTTGGTATTTTTATCAGGAGGGTAAGGCTCGAGTAGCTTTTCAATTGGGTGGCAACTTTGGGGTGTAGATGTGACTGCCGAGGCTTCCAGAAGTACAGGTAGGTTGGGGGAGGTAGCCCACCCTAACTCTGGGAAAGGGAAAGCCTGGAGATTTCAGTCACAAAACCTGCATACCAGAATTTTTAACAGATTGTATCTTGGTGAGGTCCGTCCTGAGACAGTGGAGCAAGACTAGGGGTATGCGGTGATTTTGGATTGTGGAAGCGAGCGGCTGCCTGGGTCTCCGTTTGAGCAGGCCCAGGCCAACCTGCTCCCGCCTCCGATTTGCCCCTGTCTGTTCAGCCATGTGTGGGTCCAGGCTTAACTGTGGCTTTTGATCTCCTTGGAGATTTATTTGTGGGTCTCTGAAGCAAGGCTGGTAGTAGAGCTTACAGGGTGGCGTTGGATTGGTTCGTGGGGGTGACTGCCAGTGCTTCCATGAGTATTGGGAAGTGAGGGTAGGTAGCCACCCCAACTCTGAGAAAGCCTGGAGATTTCAGTCACAACCCGTGAACCAGAATTTTCAGCAGACTATATCTTGGTGAGGTCTGTCCTGAGACGGTGGAGCCAGGCCGGGGGGAATGGTGGTGATTTTGAATTGAGAAGCAAGTGGCTTCTGGGGGGCTCTGCTTGGGTGGCCGCCAGGCCAACCTGCCCTCCTCTGACTTATCCCAGTCTGTTCAGCCATGCAGAGGTCCGAGATTTACTTTGGCTTTTGATCTCTTTCCAGATTTATCTATGAGTCTCTGAAATAAGGCCAATAAATGAGCTTGTATAGATAGCTGAGCTAGAGATGATTTGTGGGTATGGCTCCCATATACCTAACTTTTGATTGTTTAATTTTTAATAAACTTTGTCTCAAGTTGTTGGGGTCTGGCCAAAGGCACAGTGGCAATTTTGGGATATTAGGAAGCCTGAAGGCATCATCAGGCTGCTGATACACTCTCCCCGGAGGTACAGGTTGACCTGTTGGCAGCACCATACCCCAATACTATTTAATTCTTAATATCTTTTTAAAATTCACATTTTTAGTTTTGCTTTTTGGGTTACACCTGGTGATGCACATGGGTTACTCCTGGCTCTGCATTCAAGAATTACTCCTGGTGGTGCTCGGGAGACCATATGGGATGCTGGGAATCAAACCTGGGTTGGCCGCATATAAGGCAAACGCCCAACCCACTTTGTTATTGCTCCAGCCCCTTAAACCTTTTTAGTTTTCTGTGTTGCTTCATAACTCAAACTAACCATCAGTTTCTTGAGCCTGTCATTAGCACTAAATAACATGTATTTGTCTAATTTGATTAGATATGTGGATTGAAGGCGAACTGCATTTTAGAAGATTTGGAACTTACCACTACCAATATAGGTAGTATAGTAAATCTGGGCTGGCTTTTCAACTGCTGCACTGTTTATATTTGATATTTCAGATGAATAGTTCTTTATTGAGGGACCTCTCTGGGGGAATATTAAGTAGCATTACTGACAACCTACTTGGTAGATGCCAGTAATCTCCTCTTATGAATTGTAAGTGATAAAGGTCTTCAGATATCATAATGTCTCTTGTGCAGCAAAATTATCTCCTGTTAATAAGCTCTTGAACAGTAGAAATTGAATAGAAATATGAAAAAGTGGAGACATTGGGAATTTCCTGATTTTAAATTTGGGTTTGATAGCTAGAGAAAGACAATGTAAGAAGGGGTTTTATGGGCCAGGCATATAGCTTAGTGGTAGAGCTCATGCCTTCATGCCTTGCATTGGAGGACCTGGGCTTGATCCTGGGTACCGTGCCCCCTCCCCCCACACAAATAGTTCTTTATATGATGTTACTTGCTGTTAGCATTTCCCAAGCATATAAATTTTATTTTTTTTAGCTCTGGAAATATCGGGAAGTTGTTAGGACCATTGCCCATGCATCCTGCAGCTGAAGATAACTATGGTTATGATGCTTGTGCTATACTCTGCTTACCGTGTGTCCCCAACATCTTAGTGATTGCTACTGAATCAGGAATGCTGTATCACTGCGTTGTATTGGAAGGGGAAGAGGAAGATGACCAAACCGTAAGTCAAGCCATTTATGTTTGTATTTATCTCTGTTAACACCTGATACAGTTCTTGCCTCCATGCGAGTGCTTAATATATGAGGATTTTTAGTTTATGTATGGCACTTTTACATCTTTTAGGAATTAAACTCTAAAAGCATATTTCAAAAATAAATGGAGGGAGGGGCGATAGAGATAGCTCAGTGGGCTGTGCATATACTTTGCAGATGGGGATGTGATTTTTATCTTTGTCATCGCGAACAATCCCTGAACACCGCCAGATATGGCTCCTGTTTTCCAAGAAAAGAAACCAGTGCTACAAAAAAATCTAAATTGGGCCACAGAGATAGGGCTAGTGCACATGCTTATGCTGGGCATGTTCAATATCTGGCACCACATAGTGTCCTGAGCACTGTTAAGAGCTATTCCTCAGCAATGTCAGAGGTAGCCCCAGTGCACCATCGTATGTGGCACCAGAACACGTTTTACTTAAACAGCTAAATGGAAAGAAGTTAGAAATGCCAGCTTACTTGATTCACCAAATTATATATATTTTTTGAACCCTAAATTGTAGTTTTTAGTAATAAAGACCCTTAAATTGCTGAATTGGTTCTTCTCTAAACTTGTTTATTTACATCTTCCTAAAAGAAACCTTTCATTCTCATTTAAGAATAACAAGGCATTACCATAAGCAGGAATGGGTTAAGGGGAGCAGACACTGGTGGAGTGCATAGTGTTGGAACACTGTATACTTGAAACTATTATGAACAGTAGTGTAAATCATAGTGCTTAAAGTAAAAAAGTGTGGGGTGGCAGGTACTGTTAGAGTAGAAGGGAGATCAAAAATTTGAAAGCACTATTTGACTTGTATATTTTCTTTTGTTTTCAATTATTTACATTTTCAGGTGAATGGGAAAGACCAGAATGATAATGCTCTCTTTTTATTTGCAGTCAGAAAAGTCTTGGGATTCAAGAGTTGACCTCATTCCTTCTCTGTATGTGTTTGAGTGTGTTGAGTTGGAACTTGCCCTGAAGTTAACATCTGGAGAGGATGATTCCTTTGATTCTGACTTTTCTTGTCCAATTAAACTTCACAGGGGTAAAGTATTCATATCCCATTATATTTAGCTAAAATTACCACAGACTGTTTTTGTAATTAATTTGTTTGGTTCCAGACTCTTAAAAGTTCACAATTTTTTTGGCCTTTTAACACCATATTTGTATTTTAGGTCCAAAAAAATGATGAGCGTATTTCACAAATTTTAAGATAGTAGTTTTTTTGTTTGTTTTTGTTGTTTTTTTATTTTAAATACATTTTCTAATTTTGGCAGTGCTCAGGAACTACTTTGGCTCAGTTGCTTAAGGATCACTCCCATTGGTGATGCTTAAGGGACCATGCAGTTCTGGTGATTCTACCTTGGGGCATGCATAACATGTACTCCAGGTCTTTGAATTCTCTTAATTTCAAGAGATTTATCAAGATCAGTATAACTTCATATTTCACACCTGATTTACTATGATAAACACTCATTGAGCAGTGCACTAGAGTTGTTTGAGTATCTGTGCTGTAGAAATTCATATTTCAACAATTTTATATTTGGATATATGTGTAAGCAGAGATTTTCTACAGAGCTACCTTTAAAAAAATTTGTATTTTTATTTTTGGGTCTTACTCAGCGATTCTCAGATGATACTCCTGCCTCTGCACACAGAGTGCTACCTTTTTTAAATTGCCGTTTTATGGGGGTATGGTGCCGCCAGCAGGTCCAACTGTACCTGTGAGGCGAGTGCATCAGCAGCCTCATTGCTCCTTCAGACTTCTAGATACCCCAAAATTGCTGCTGTGCCTTTGATCAGACCCCAAAAACTTGGGGCAAAGTTTACCAAGAAAGTAAACGGTCAAAAGTTAGGTATGTGGGAAACACACCCACAAACCACCTCCGGCTCAGCTATATATATATAATTGGAGGCAAGATCTCTTTGGTTCCTGATTGAACTGCTTAATGGACATGATCCCAGAGACTCAGAAATGAATCTCAAAACCCAGTGGCTTTAGGTAGAAATGCGTCTGGTCTCTGCAGTAGGCTACCGGTGCTGGACCAACCCAGGTGGGAATAGGTTTCATGCCTTGGCCTGTTCCCCCTGGCGGCCCAGTGGCCACCATCCGTCTGAGGCCACTGGATAGTCACATTTGGGCCCCCAGTGACGAGACACACAGGGCCTCACGGGATGAGGGTGGAGCCGGGCTTGTCCTCCCCACCCCAACGAGACCCCAAGTCATCGCCCACGAATGGCTTCTCTGGCTCCTGATCAAGCTGCTTAATGGCCAGGATCCCAGAGACTCAGAAACAAATCTCAAAACCCAGTGGTGTTTGGCAGAAATGCATCCGGACTCCACAGTACGTTACTGTCGCCGGGCCACCCCAGGGGGGAATGGGTGCTGTCCCTCCGCCTGCTCCCTCTTGGCGACTTGGTGGCTGTCATCCTCCAGAGGCCATTGGACAGTCAGGCTTGGGCCCGCAGTGACAAAACTTGTTGGATCTCACGGGATGGGGGGGGAGGTGGATCCGGGCCTGTCTTCCCCACCCTAACGAGACCCTAAGTCATCGCCCACAAACGGCCTCTCTGGCTCCTCATCAAGCTGCTCAACGGCCTTGATCCCAGAGACTCAGAAAAAAATCTCTAATCCCAGCGGCTTTTGGCAGAAATGTGTCCGGACCCCGCAGTAGGTTACTGTCGCCGGGCCACCCCAGGGGGGGAATGGGTGCTGTCCCCCCGCCTGCTCCCTCTTGGCGACTTGGTGGCTGTCATCCTCCAGAGGCCATTGGACAGTCAGGCTTGGGCCCGCAGTGACAAAACTTGTTGGATCTCACGGGATGGGGGGGGAGGTGGATCCGGGCCTGTCTTCCCCACCCTAACGAGACCCTAAGTCATCGCCCACAAACGGCCTCTCTGGCTCCTCATCAAGCTGCTCAACGGCCTTGATCCCAGAGACTCAGAAAAAAATCTCTAATCCCAGCGGCTTTTGGCAGAAATGTGTCCGGACCCCGCAGTAGGTTACTGTCGCCGGGCCACCCCAGGGGGGGAATGGGTGCTGTCCCCCCGCCTGCTCCCTCTTGGCGACTTGGTGGCTGTCATCCTCCAGAGGCCATTGGACAGTCAGGCTTGGGCCCGCAGTGACAAAACTTGTTGGGTCTCACGGGATGGGGGGAGAGGTGGAGCTGGGCCTGTCTTCCCCACCCCAATGAGACCCCAAGTCATCACCCATGAACAGCCTCTCTGGGTCCTCATCAAGCTGCTCAACGGCCATGATCCCAGAGACTCAGGAGCAGATCTCTAAACCCAGTGTCTTTTGGCAGAAATCCCTCCAGATTTAAGTGTTAAAATTTCAGAATTTCAAAACCACATGGCCCTACTGCAGCCACACGACATCATATGTTATTCATAACCAGCAATAGAACACAAATTGTCTAGTGTTGCCTTTTCAGCAGATCTGAGTGTTGGGGTAAAATCTCAAATAATGGTGGGTCTGGTGTCGAAATAGTGAATGTGATCAAAGTAGAGAGAGAGTAAGGTAGAAATCATCTGCCCCACAGGCAGGGGGAGGGTATGGGATGGGGTATACTGGGATTTTTGGTGGTGGAGAATGGGCACTGGTGAAGGTACAGGTGTTTCATTGTATGACTGAGACTTAGACCCAAAAGCTTTGTAACTGCTCTCACGGTGATTCAATAAATAAAATTGTAAAAAATGGAAAAGAAAAAAAAAGTAAGGTGGAGTTCATGCACAATTCAATCAGCTAATCAGTGGCTGAATAAATAGCAGTACTCCTACAAAAAAAGGGGGAAAAAATTACCGTTTTATTTTGAAGAATTGTAAATGCAAAAAGTAGGCATAAATGTCTTGGATCTGGAGATAGTTTAGTGATTAAGACACTTGCAGTGCATGTAACTGGCCCCAGGTTGGCCCTCATCATTTTTAGTAGTGATCCCAGTAACAGAGCCAGGGGTAAGCACTGAGCATCTGAGCATACCGGGTATTCCCTCACACCCCCCCAAAAAAAATGCCCTTTAAAGCTAACAAAGGAGACATAACTGATATCCAGCACAAGTAGTGTCTGTTTCGATAAACACTTGTTTTAATATATTCAAGATACCAAAACTGGGACCAGAGAATTCAGAATTTAAAATTTCAAAACCATGTTGCCAAAGTGGTAGTAGAGTGGGTACTTGCTTTGTACTCAGGCAACTCTGGTTCAGTCCCTGGGACCCCATATGGTTTCCTGAGTCTGCCAGAAGTGGCCCCTGGATGTAGAGGCAGGAGTAAGCCCTGAGCATAGCCCAGCGTAGCCCGAAACCTCTCCCTACCTCAACTCCCCCCAACAAAACCCAAAATATTTCAAAACTAGGACCAGGTTAAGGTGCTTACTCTATGTGTTTGCTTTGATCCCTGGCACCATATTTGGCCCTTGAGCACTGCCAGGAGTGACCCCCGAGTCACTTACTCAGGGGCACTTTTTAAAGTAAATGACTTAAGATCAAACCTAGCACCACTAGGTATGTGTCCAAACCATAAAAAGAGACCAAAAATCCCATAAAATGTCACAGTCCTGGGGCCTGGAGAGATAGTTCAGCAGACAGGGTGTTTTTCTTACATATTGCTGACCCCAGTTCTATCCTTGGCACCCTGTATAATCCCCCAAGCTCTGCCAGGGATAATCCCTGAGCGCAAAACCATTAGTAAGACCTGAACACCCATGTGGGGCCCAGAAAACAAAGGGGAAAAAAGTATCACTGTCATATAGTCTCTTATTTCTGTCAACAAATGTGTTTGTAGGAAATGGGTAGATGAATTCTCTGTTTTCTAATTGCTGCCTTTATTTTACTAATAATTCTATTTGCAGATCCTAAGTGTCCCTCAAGATACCACTGTACTCATGAAGCTGGTGTACATAGTGTTGGGCTAACTTGGATTCATAAACTTCACAAATTTCTTGGATCGGGTGAGTTTACTAACTCAGTGAATCAGATTTTATCAAAAAGTAGTGTGGATGACCCTGAAGAGATGGCTCAAAGGGCTCCAGCACATTCTTTGCATGTTGTAAATCCAATCCAGACTCTATCTCTAGCACCTTATGTTCCCTAGGAGTACTTTGAGGTATAGGGAGTATAGGGAGATGACTCAAAAGGTCTGGAGTTCATGCTTTGCATGTGGGGCCTCAGGATTGACCCCTGGCACCAGTGTTCTCCTGAGCATGACTAAGCCAATCTTTAATACTGTGTTAAATGTATACCCTCCAGGCACTACCCCCCCGCCCCCCACTCCTCCAAGTTTGGAATAGAAGAAGTAGTAGAAAAAGGCAATGAAACTGGATGTTGGTTCTTTGAAAGATCAACAAAATCACCAGATCTTTATGTTGGCCAAGAAATAAAAGACTCAGAAAACTACAAGTATTAATTAGTAGGATATTACTGTTGATCTTAGAGAAATAGCTATGCACAACTTTATGTCAATTAGATGAAAGTGAAAAAGTATCAAAACTGAGTCAAGAATAGGAAATTAGCTCTAAAAAGAGAAAAAATTGAATGGTAGCTTAACATTTATTTTCAGTTACTGTCACTGTCACTGTCCTCCTGTTGTTCATCGATTTGCTCAAGCGGTCCCAGTAACGTTTCCATTGTGAGACTTGTTACTGTGTTTGGCATATTGAATACACCACGAGTAGCTTGCCAGGCTTTGCTGTATGGGCGGAATACTCTCGGTAGCTTGCCAGGCTCTCCAAAAGGGTCAGTTGGGTTGGCCTCTCGCAAGGCGAACGCCCTACCGCTGTGCTATCGCTGCAGTGCTGGAGATTGAACCCAGGACCTTATACATGCAAAGCAGATATTCTGCTACTGAGCCACTATCCCATCCTTAATGATTTTGCATTTAAAAAATAATAATAGCAGTTCTTCACACGCTCTTTTGAAAGGTAGAAGAGAAACACCAGCTCTGTAAGGGCTGACACCAAAGACATCCAAGGAAAGAAAACAGTTTCATGAATATAGAGAAAAAAATCCTCACTAAATACCTGCTAATCAAATGAAAACCCAAATCAATAATATGAAAAGGATTATGCACCATAACAAAGTGGGATTTATCCCAAGTATGCAAGTTTAACATCTAGAAATCATTGTATTGCACCATATCAAAGAGGATAAAAATCTTATGATCATCTCAGTAGATTGAGAAAAAGCACTAAAGAAAAACCAACAACTTTTCACATTAAATATACTCAATAAACTTTGTAAAATAGATTTTGCTTAAACTTATAGAGGTGTTTTTCTATGAAAAACCCACAGCTAACACCATACTTTGTGTTGGAAATCCTAATGCTTTCCTTATTTTTCTGCTTGCTGTAATAAAGGACCACAAATTTAGCAATTGAAAATAATACAGAGAAATAGTACAGGATTAAGACATTTGTCTTTCATTCCATTGACCATGGTTTTGAATTCCCGGCATCACATATGGTCCCCGGACACTGCCAGGGCTCATTCCTTAGCACAGAGCTAGGAGTAGCCCCTGAGTACAAATGAATATATGCCCCCCCAACCATTTTTTTTAAAAAACTTAAATATTAATATGAGACAGCGTGAGTTTGGTCATATGGTTGTGTAGGTTTGAAGTCTTAGAATGATCTCACTTGGCAGAACACTCTTTCTGGAAACTACAGGGTAAAATCAATTTCCTAATCCTTTCCAGTTTCTTTTGACTTACATTGTCAAAAGAAAATGCTTTTTCCATCTTCAAAGGCTGTATATAGTCATCCACATCATGTTTCACTCAAATCTTTGGTTTTTGGTTTTTCACTCAAATCTATGGTTTTCTCTTTTGACCAAGGAAATTTTTGTAACTTTGTAACAACTCAGGTAATCCAGGATAATCTACCAAAGATATTTGAGGGCCAAGGAAATATTACAGAGTGATTATTTGTAGTTTGTTAGTTTTATTAGCATGTTTCCTTGCCTATAGAATACTAGGGGTATAATGAACGGCTTTTCTTAGTTACAAAATTCTCAAGAATGCTTTGAATTTTCTTTGTATGTGAGAATTCACTTTAATAAACAAAGCTTATTCACAGATTTACTATATAATCTAATCTTTTGGCTTCTGCCTAGAAGACTGAAGGATCTAAGTCATAATTTTAATATTTTCAGACAACTGCTTAAGTAACTAAATATTCTAACTTTGTGATCATTTTCGGTAGAGTGTTAAGGGAAAAAAATGAATAGCTACACCCATGACTTTTCGCTACACCAATGACTTTTCTTCTAAAACATGCTTCTCAAAGAATGACTCTGATTTTAGCATCTTTTGCCATTCAGGATTTTTTTTTGAGGATTTCCCAAATTAACAAGGCTGTGTTGCTTTTTTGTGTAAGTCTTTCTTTCAATTATATTTACCTATGTTGCTTTTTTGTTTAAGTTTCATTATATGTATCATGTGTATATATATATATATTTAATTTATTTTTATTTTTTTAATTGAGTCACCATGAGATACACAGTTACAAAGTTGTTTAAGATCAGATTTCAGTCATAAATGATCCAACACCTCTCCCTCCACCAGTGTTCATTTCCCATCACCAATGACCCTAGTTTCCTTTCTGCCTCCCCCCTTTCTTCCCCTGCCTGCCTCTCTGGCTCTATTACAGGAACTTTTTACCCTATATCTCATAAGTTGCTATAAGAAAAAAAACTAGACCACATCAAGTTGTGCTTGGAAATCTCAGGTGAATGTTTAATTTTTTTACAAGTTTTGCTTTTGGACTTTTTATATGTCACTTGATCACTTGATGCCCCGTTATTCATCGATTTACTCGAGCAGGTGCCAGTAACGTCTCCATTCATCCCTGTTACGTGCTAGCGTAGCCCAATGGCATCTGTTCATTCTAGGAACATGCAGAGCCTCAAACCGATCATTCAGGGTCTTGACGAAGAAGTCTGACCATCTTGTAGGTGGGCGTCCACGCGATCTTTTGACGTCCCGTGGAATCCAGTCAGTAATGGCTATAGTCCAGAAGTTGTCTCATTTAACTGATATCAACATAGTAATTTAAAGACCATTTTAAAGCATCAGTTAATTTTTGTGTTCTTTATAGATGAAGAAGATAAGGATAGTTTACAGGAACTTGCTGCAGAACAGAAATGCTTTGTGGAGCATATCCTTTGTACAAAGCCGTTGCCATGCAGGTAAGACTCATGTTACATACACAGATCATGCATTTTATTAATCTAGATACACATATGGGGCTGGAGCGATAGCACAGCGGGTAGGGTGCTTGCCTTGCAAGCAGCCAACGTGGCCGACCCAGGTTCGATTCCTCCACCCCTCTCGGAGAGCTCGGCAAGCTACCGAGAGTATCTCGCCCGCACGGTAAAGCCTGGCAAGCTCCCCGTGACGTATTCGATATGCCAAACATAGTAACAACAAAGTCTCATGATGGAGACGTTATTGGGCCCGCTCAAGAAAATTGTTGAACAATGGGAGGACAGTGACAGATACATATATACATTATACTCAAATGATTAAAACTTGAATATTAATTGCACATATGACACATTACCCATTAGATATTTATCTAAAGCTTTCCCTGTTTCAAAACAAGTAAACCAGAAGAAAAACAAATCTTATATATCTGTGGTATATAAAATATTGGATGAAGAAATGTACCATAGTAAAAGGTGAATGCTTAGATCACCCTGGACCCCAGTGTTTATTTTTTCAAATTTTTTAAATTTTATTTTGTCTTTTTAAGTCATACCAGCAGTGCTCAGGGGTTACTTCTGGCTACCAGTATCAGTTATACTGTTGATACGGGTGAGTGGAAGAGCCATATATCCAGAACGCAGACTGAACAACACTGGAAGCATGAGCTCTAAACTGCAATCACTGAAACTTTTTAATGTACCCATCAAGTTGACAGTTGGGGATAGGTTGGGGTTTGGGATGGAGTGGGGAGGGAATATGGGAACATATGGTTTAGGGAAGTTGACAGTGGTGGTAGAATTGGTGTTGAAATATATGCCTAAAACTCAATTATCAATAACTTTGTAAATCACAGTTCTTTAATTAAACAAACGAAATTCACATAGTATGTCCTCTAGAAGCTGAACACCACTTAGGAGAGTTCCCCCTACCCCATTTTTTTTTTTACACCTTTCCTGCTCCCACACCCAGCCCCCCAAAATTATTAAATATTGTGGAAGAAAAAATAATATTGTAGACTATCTAAAGACTGCTGATTACAAAGGGAAGAGGAATTTGCACTTGGAATGTGGGTCTGTGATAGAGTCCTTGTCACCTATAGATTTGATCCTCAGTATAGCAAAATATGAGATGATGAGTAGGTCAAGAAAAACTTGAAATTTTAGTGAAGAATTTTGTGGGTTTTGTTTATATTGTTGTTTGTTTGGGGGCCACACCTGGCAGTACTTACTCCTGGCTCTGTACTTAGGGATCACCTGTGGCCAATGCTCAGGGGACCATCTAGGGTGCCAGGGATTGAACTAGATAGGCTACATGTCAAGCAAATGACCTACCCACTTTCCTACCTTTCAACCCTGAGAAGTTGATTAGCTTTTTTTGGTTTTGGCTTTGGGGCTACACCCAGTATGCTCAGGGGTTACTCCTGGCAGGTGGGAACTATATATGGGGCCAGGGATTGTATACAAGGCAAACCCCCAACTGAGAATTTGAATGAAAGAGTAAGCTTGTTTGTAAAATTAAGTGCTGTGACACAGAAGCTAGGCTGTTACGAATTTGTGAATGTGTTGGAAGGTAGGGGTGCCCCCATCTGGCATTGTCTAGGGAATCATTGGTGTCAGAATTTGAACCTGAGATCCCACTTGCTAAATATACACTCTAGCCCTTTGAACTATCTCTCTGTCCAGACATCTTATTTTCTTTCATGCTGTATCAGGAATGAACCTAAGGCAAAGCTTCAAATGAACTACATACCAGGTGGACCTTGCATTGAATTTTGCAGATTTTTATTTTTGTTTTGGGTCCTATGCCCAGAAGTGTTTAAGTAGTCACTACTCCCAGTTTTGTACTCTGGGCCAGGAATCAAAACTGGATTCCAGACATACAAGGCAAGTGCTTTACCATTGAGAGTCATCCCTAGTCCCTTGTTTAAACTCTCAGAAGTTCTGTTCACCAGTTTCTGAGCATTTTCATAGGTTGGGCGTTGGGTTAAGTATGTGAACTATCAGTTTTGTGTGTTGATAAGAGAACCACCAACTTCAGTGTTTCATATTAACTGGTACAATTACTATGAACATCGTGAGGTAATGGATTCCTTACAGAGCTTCTGGACATAGAAGTTAACGGTTTGTTTCATGCAGATTTAGTTGTATTCCAGAGTTCCACAACAACACCTTTAAATTACTATACTATAGTATTTCCCAACTGTTAGCCAGGATTTAGAAGTTGTGAACTTCAGCCATGTCTCTGCTTTTGGTACCATTTCATTTGTTTCTTTGTTTTGAAACTGTGGCTTTGTTTTTCTAGGCAGCCAGCTCCTATTCGAGGATTCTGGATCATTCCTGACATTCTGGGACCAACAATGATCTGCATCACCAGTACCTATGAATGCCTCATAAGACCTTTATTGTAGGTTCTAGTTTTTATTTTTCACATACTTGTCATTAATTTTGCAAAATCTCGGTGGAAAATGCTTTTAGTAATTGACTTGAAAATACATTGTTAATGGGCTGCAGAGATAATACAGGGATTGAGGCTTGCATGAGGTGAATCCTGTTTGATCCCAGTCAGTGCATGGGGTAGCCCTCCCGACATCCCAATCATTATGAGGTGTGGTTCCAGTATCTCAACGCACCTAAAAAAAAAAACCATGATATTAGGGGCTGGAGTGATAGGATAGTGAGTCAGGCATTTGCCTTGCACACGGCTGACCTGGGTTCGATCCCTAGCATCCCATATGGTCCCCTGAGCACCGCCAGGAGTAATTCCTGAGTGCAGAACCAGGAGTAACCCCTGAGCATTGTAGGTTGTGACCCCAAAAGAAAACAAAACAAAAACCATATTAGTTATGCTTTGGCTTCTCACTTGGTGGTTGGAAATGTGGGTATACTTTTAAGCTCTTTGTATGCTAGGCTCAGAAGTTTACCTACACTCCTTCCTACAATCCATTCCTACAATCAGGACAACCATGTAAGCTTCCATTATAGAAGGAAAAAGAGCGAGAGGTAAATTGGCACCTACTACTATCATCAGAGAAATCTTGTAAGGCTCTTGCTACTATTCAAGTGTTATGGAAGAAACAGTGTGGTAAAGTCAATACTTGAGGACAGAAGTAACACAAATTGGGCTACAAATAAAACATCTAAGAAAGGGGCCAGGGAGATAGCACAGCAGATAAGGCGTTTGCCTTGCATGTGGCCGAAGCAGGTTCAGTCCCCGGCATCCGTATGTTCCCCCAAGCACTGCCAGGAGTATTTCCTGAACAGAGTCAGGAGTAACTCCTGAGCATTACCAGGAGTGACCCAAAAAACCAAAACAAAACAAACAAAAAAGAGAGCTCTGAATTACTGCTTCCATTCCCCTTAAGGAATTTATATTAACTATGTGCAGCAGTTTCTTAGCACTCCTAAAAGGTCATTCTGAGTTTTATAGATGTGGAAATTAAAGATCTGGTTTAATACTACATAAGATGTCGAATACTCTACTCTTCCCTCCTACCCTCACCTCCCACCCACCCTCCACTCCCGGCCAGCAGTCTTAATTATCAGTTCAAAGCATGTACTTGTAGACACTGACTTCATTTCCTGATGTTAATTTGCTGCCCTTGGAAGGTTTATCATGATCTTTGAAAATTGATAAGGAATGCTGTTTAGAAAGGAAAAAGTAATTTGTATTACTTTTACAAAAAAGAGTTGGAAAACTTAAGACAAAAATATATTTTTAGTAAAAATCACTAAAAATACATAGCCTTTTTTGCGTTTGCTGAAGCATGTATTTTTTGTTTGTTTTGATGTGAACATCTGGTGTTGCTCACAGCTTATTCCTGGCTCTGTGCTCAAGGATCACCTGTGGTGTTGCTCAGGTGACCCTAGGAGAGCTGAGATCAAACCCATGTCATCTGCTTGAAGGGCAAGCTTGAAGGGCAAGCATCACACTATCTCTCCAGCACCTCGGCATATTTTAAAAAAACCATCTTACCTCTTATAAAGTAGTTACTTCAAACAAAGATAGGAATCTCAGAGCAGAAAAAGTAAATACCAATGCTTCTTTATTTTATTATTATTTTTTTGTGTTTGTGCTATACCCCAGTGTTCAGAACGTACGCTTGTTTCTGTGCTAAGGGATCACTCCAGACAGTGCTCCAGGAACCATATGGGATGCTGGGGATTGACCTGGGTCAGCACTGTGCAGGGGAAACATCCTGCCCCCTGTACTATCTCTCTGGTCCCAGCCCAGGTTTTTTATTTCTGCCAACTATGCAGAGTACAAGTTATCTCTGTTAGTGCTTAACAGACATCCTGATTTGAATTGTTGGATTTTTATCACTTACCATGTGGTCAGAGTTTGCAAACTTTCAAGCTCCTTCTACAAAGTGTCTTTGTGATTGTTATTTTTAAGTGGATGTGCTTTTTAGAAATCAAACTAGATAGGGGCTGGAGTGATAGAATAGCCATTAAGGTGCTTGCCTTTACATGGCCAACCAGAGTTCGATACCCAGCATCCCACATGGTCTCCTAAGCCTGCCAGGAGTAACCCCTGATTGCAGAGCCTGAAATAAGCCCTGAGCACTGCTGGGTATGGCCCCAAAAACTAAAATCAACAAAATGTGCAGTTTTTAAAAGTTTTAGGTAAATTTTGCCAGAAAGGTGGGGTGCAACCATTATGTCGAGCATTTTTTAAAAATTGTGCTGGTGTTACTGAAAACAAACAGGGTATGATGATTATGTAGTGGAGACACTTAAGTGATAAAAGGTATGCAGTGATATTGCATTTGATCTGATCTAAACTATGCTTAGCAAGTGAATTATTTTGTAGCTCTGGTTCTGAAAAATTCTTGAAGTTCCATTTTCCTACTGCCTTAATTTTTTTCAAAAGAAATCTGAGGTCAGAAATGCTTTGACAGGGGCTGGATAGATAGCACAGCAGGTAGGGTGTTTGCCTTGCACGCAGCAGACCCGGGTTTGATTCCCAGCATCCCATATGGTTCCCTGAGTGCAGAGCCAGGAGTAACCCCTGTGCATTGCCAGGTGTGACCCAAAAAGCAAAAAAAAAAAAAAATGCTTTGACAAATGATAACATTGGTAAAGGGATAAAACTCTTACTAAAGTGATCTCTTCAAGGTACAGATGTATTCTGTGTGTTTATAAAAGTAGTATTTTTGGACTGAAGAGTTACTACAGCAGGTAGTGATTTATGACTGGGGTTTGAGCTCCAGCACTTCATAAGGTCTGCTGAGCCCCCCCTAGGCGTAATCCCTAAGCACAGAGTCAGTCGCAAGCCCGTAGCACATCAAGTTTGGTCTAAAAAGCCTAAATAATTAAATGTAACATTTCATAGTTTTTTATATTATCAGAGGTTAAGTGCGACTTATACTTATGATACAATAAATAGTTAAAAAGTAAATGGTGGGCTTTTTTACAGAAGCACCGTTCATCCAGTATCTCCTCCCCTGCTCTGTACCCAAGATGATGCAGAAGTGACAGAGTCTCCCCTCCGTATTCTGGCTGAAACACCGGATTCCTTTAAAAAGCATATCAGAAGTATTTTGCAACGTGGTGTTACAAATCCAGCATTTTTAAAGTATGAGATTTGTTGGGGGGAGGGATATGTGTTTTATGAACCAATTATTGGGGGAAGAGAGCTCAATGGGCTGGAGCACATGCTTCATCCATAGCACAGTGGTCCCCAAACGACCGTCAGGAGTTACTCTTTGATCATCAAACTGGGAATAGCCTGAATATTGCCCAGAGAAAGACCCATGTGAACTTGGAACAAAAAAAGACAAGACAAACCTGGTTGCTTGTGTTTTCATATTTCCTCAGTTATTTAATTTCATCTACTTTTTACTATGTTGAGTTGGAAGAAACAGCATGTTTATAATCAGTATACAGAGTGAGAGAATAGGTTTGAATAGAGGCACTTACTAGTGATAAACAGGAAATATGGAAGAAGCAGATTGATGAGTCTTTTCAATTATTATATTCAGTTAAGGAGTATAACAGTGAAATACTCTTTTTGAAAAGATCATCCGAAAAAGACCTGGCTCCTCCTCCTGAAGAATGTCTTCAGCTCATCAGCAGAGCTACCCAGGTATTCAGAGAACAGTACATTCTTAAGCAGGACTTGGCGAAGGAAGAAATTCAGCGGAGGTAGGATGGCTATCGTTCTCATACGCTCTGGCACTGCTTAACGGCCTAGACCTGGCTTTTGATTAATTTTTTTCCCTTTTCCTCATGAAGGGTCAATTTATTATGTGAACAAAAAAAGAAACAACTAGAAGATCTAAATTACTGTCGAGAGGAGAGGTATGTTCCAAAACTATGGAGTAAAAACAATAGTTCAATAATAGTTTTTTCACCATAAGATACTGAACTACATCAGTTAGCTTCATTATCTAGGTGGATAACAGTATTGTTTTTTGTACAACTAGAAAAAGTCTACGGGAAATGGCTGAGCGCTTAGCTGACAAATATGAGGAAGCGAAGGAAAAACAAGAAGATATCATGAACAGGTCAGTGGATAGTTCCCTACTCAGGTGTAGTATTAATGAATTACGATAATTAACAGCCTAATTATTGGAGGGGACAAATAAGGGCCTGTCGAAGGTACTCCCATGCTTTACAGAATTGTTACTCCCCTCTGAGCTGTGAGGGAAAATAGTGGTAAATTTTCCCACTGTGAATTTCATCCTGTGAGGGCCTCCTTCAGACAGATAACTTTAGTTATTATCTATTTACATATATATATGAAATACATATTTTTTCTAAATAGAAGCCTTAAGCTCAGATGTTCACTTGCTTTTTCTAAAGGATGAAAAAAGTGCTTCACAGTTTTCACTCTCAGCTCCCAGTTCTCTCTGATAGTGAGAGGGACATGAAGAAAGAATTACAGCTGATACCTGATCAACTTCGACATTTGGGCAATGCCATCAAACAGGTAAGAACAGATGCAGTGTAACTTCGACATTTGGGCAGTGCCATCGAACAGGTAAGAACAGATGCAGTGTAACTGAATGTCAGTACTTTGGCTTTTTTTTTTTTTTTGTAGTGCTAGGAGTAGAATCCAGATTCTCACACTGCAGATGCTCTAATACTGAGCTATATTTCCCATCAGTTCTTTTTTTTTTAAATTGTTCTACAGAAAATTTCCTGAAATAACTTTTTAAAAAGTGTCACTGAGATAAAATAGCACTGGGGTGATATGATAGCTCAAAAGGCTGTATTACATGCTTTGAGTCCTGGAAACCAGGTTCAGTCCCTGGTACCACACGGTCCCTCAAGCACAACCAGGTGTGCCCCCCCCCCCCCCAAAAAAAAACCACGTCACATGTTAAGGTGAGAGGGACAGGCACAGAAGTTCTCTCATGCAGGATATAGAGAAATATAGTAGGAGAATAACAATTCCCCAAAGGCAGTAGAAACAGTAAGCAAGAGAACTCATTTACAATAGGAAGCCACTTGGGATGAGGGGTGGAGAAGTTGGGAGTTGTGTTACTAGATCAGGGAAGGATAAAACATTGGTGGTGGAGGGAATTGGTCATTGGAGGGGGGATAGAAAGCTGAAAATAAGTATAAAGTGCCTACCAAAGAGGGAAATGGGACATTGGTGGAGGAAAGTGTTCACTGGTGAAGGGATTAGAACAATGTATATTGAATTGTGAATAACTTTGTAAATTTGAAATTCACTGGTGATTAGGTTTAAAAAAAAATCTTTAGGACTGGAGCAATAGTACAATGGGTAGGGTATTTGACTTGCACGAGGCTGACTCAGGTTCGATCCCCAGCATGCCATATGGTCCCCCGAGCACCGCCAGGTCCTGAGTGCAGAGCCAGGAGTAACCTCTGTGCTTCGCCGGGTGTGACCCAAAAAGCCAAAACAAAAAAAAGACATTTAGAAAAATAACAAACTACAGCTCAGTTATCTTTTTTCTATTCATTGCTTTTAGGTTACAATGAAAAAGGACTACCAGCAACGAAAGATGGAAAAGGTACTGACTCCACAAAAACCCACCATTACTCTCAGTGCCTACCAGAGAAAGTGTATTCAGTCGATCCTGAAAGAGGAGTAAGTAATACTGTCAGTAGACTATTTTAGTTGTATTTACTTTGCAATAAACCAAAATCAACCTTTCTCTAATTTAAGATTACTTGGCATTTGCATGTCAAGTAATAGCTGTACAGGGAGCTATACGATAGGTAAGCACTCAGATGAGTACACTGGAGGACCAAAAATGATGATTTTCCTATAATCTTACTGTGTGGCCAAGGTATTCCCCCAATTAATATGTTAAACAATATTTCCGCATATAAAGTATGGTTTACAAAATATTAAATAACCAGAAGTACTAGTTTAGTGGAGAAAGTAAGAGAGAAATCTAGGAAATTCCTCAGTTCATTCTAAGGAATTAAAATTATTTTTTGAGAATAGGTAGCTTTGGGAGGGTTCCAGGTAACAGTAATTAGCAAGATTGGTTCTTGTGTCTTTTGGTTTTGGTGCTAGGGCTTGAAGCTAGGGCCTCATGTACAACTCCGTGCTGTTTTTGAGAGTGACATAAGGTTCCTGGAGAGAGATGATGAGGACTTTGAAAGAGATGATGAGGTTTGTTTTATAATGGTGAACAAGTAAAAATCTGGCAGATACCTAAGACTAACAGTTATCAAGTCTGCATGATAAAGAGATGAGTGACTTTCTTGATCTGGAAAATAGGAGAGGAGTCTGAGGAAATTTAGTTTTAGGAGGTTCAGAAAAAAATGTTTTTCCAAAAGTTACACCATTGTTAACTTAAATGTGTGGCAGGCACCATTACTGAGACCTTAATTTAGCAAAAACACTTCTAATATATTTCAACAGTAACATTTTAAATCATAATAAAATAATGGTTATTCATTTGTTGTTCTCAAAAGTGAAATGACTTTATCATTCTTACAGGGGTGAACACATAAGAGAAATGGTGAAACAAATCAACGACATCCGAAATCATGTAAACTTCTGAAACTGTTAGGAATAGATTTAGACAACTGAATTTAACAAGTGAAAGCTTAAATTCATACTGTAAAACAGATAGCATAATCTAATTTATAAAGAGACATTTTGGATGAAGTTTGGTGTGGTCGTTCATTATTTTTATACTTTATTTTATAATTGAATGGGTGAGATTTTCAGCTGCATACTCCCATATGTCCATAAACTCTATTAGCAGCAACAGCATCTAACTGAAAAGGGACAAAATCCTAGAATTTAAAGGAAAAGACCACACAAAATACTAGGCAGCAGCTTATTTTAATTGGAACACTTTCTTCTGAAGGACACTCCTCAGTTCAATTAGTTACATATGAAATTTTTCGGGGCAGAGAACCATAGTTGCAAGGCTTACTGCTAGCTCACTTTTTCAACAAGTAGTATTACCTTTCAGATCTGAGTTTGGCTCTGTCCGTAGTTCCTAAAGTATAATTCAGTGGGTGTATGTAGGACCTCAGAGGGAGAAAAAAAGAAATAGCTTGGTATTGGTGTGTAATTTTGTTCTCAACTAGTTTTATGTAGCTTTAAAAAAAAATTGGGGGAAGGATACAAGGTATAGACAGTAAGGTGCTTTCCTTGCATTCACTGGCCCTACTTTGAATCCCAGCACCACCTATTCCCAAGCACTGCCAGCCAGTTCACTCCTAAGAACAGAGCCAGGAGTAGCCCCAAACCTCCCAGCTCTCAAAATTTCTTGCAGTGCTGCGGTTATACTCATGACTTATATATGTAAAATAAGCATTTACCATGACGCCACACCTTTTATATCTGCCAATGAGTTCTGAAAGGTAATATGAACCTGTCTAGAAATGGCTGAGTTAAAAGACCAATTAAAAGCCACGTGGTTAGGTAGATAACAGGTAAGAAGTAAATGAGATTAGAGATGCGTGAGAACATGTGTACTGACTAACGGGCAAAGAAACTTTCATGAAACCCAACTGTTGTTTTATCTAGAAGTGCTAATTCATCTGCCTTCTGTATCAGTTTTCCACTCACACAGAAAACTCAGTAAAAGTAATTGTTTCTACTAGGAGAGTATCAATAGTTTGATTCATATCAAAAATAGGTTAACATAACTCAGTCTTTGTTTTTATCTAGGATATTTTTCTCAACAGAGTGGGTCCATCAGTTTCCATCTGCCACGTAATAAGAACAGATTTAATTGTCCTTTAATCACGATTTTATTGATGTAGTACCATCTTACAAAGAAAAACATCTGCAAGTTACCTAAACAGAACAGTTCCCTGGGAGCTAAGCTAGTTAGTTTAGGAAGATAATGAATTATACATCCTGACTTGACAACCAGTTTTAATAACCTGGAACAGACTTGCTTGGGAGATAAGGAATTTGATCTACTGCTTACATCATTTAAATTGATTGTATTTTGGAATTAATATCCTGTAACTCAGAGAACATGTTTCCATTATCTAAATCAAGAAGCACTTAATACAAAGGGACTTTAAACCAATTTAAATATCTCATGCATGATAATAAGCCATAATGCTAATTTCCATAATCAGTTTTGCTTTTAATTTCATAATTATGACTCAAGACTACAACAGTAACCCACTGCTCTATGCAGAAAAAATAACTTTATATGACTTCATTTGTAACAAAGAATTTTTAACTCGTTGAAGGTGATGTTAATTAAGTGGGCCAACTGATCTGTACTTAATTCCATAAAAGTACCTTCCAAGTACACTGCTGTAATGCAATACCAAGCACACAGAATTTAATACCAACAATTTTACTTTAGAACCATCTATATGAATTACGATGTAGCTTTTTTTCTATTGGCTAATCTGTAGCAGGTAGTGAATGTGAACCCTCCAGTCTTTGTGCTTTCTGTAAAACTTCATAAGGCAAAAATAATTAGTTGAAGCTTTCTTCACATAGGATAGGAGTTTCATACTACTCACAGAAATGACAAAGCATATTCCAACCAACCAAGTTTTCCCCAACTTCACCATAAGAATTAACAAACTCCAAGAATAAATTATAAAAGGAAAATGCAAAGTGGGTATCTTTCAAACCTAGTTATTACCAATTTTATGTTTGATACTTTTGAAACAATCTGTACTCAGACTTGTTACAGGAGTTTGAAAATAAGCAGACTTGTGAATTTATACTAGATGTTATTAGACATCTTGTTCCCCCTTCCGCCCCTCCATTGATCCATAACTGAGGTTTTCAAATGAGTGGGTGGTACCAGTTCAACTTGACCACAAAAGTTATCCAGGTAGCCGAAAAAGTGCTTGCAAAGAGTTTCTTGTGCTTTTCCTTTAACTCCAATACAAAGAGCCCCAACCAAATTTTCAGATTCTTAATTTAGTTTTTAAATTGCTTGTCTGTGGATGTCTTCTTTTTCTCAGGCAAGATTCAGTAGCATTTCAGGGCTTCCAACACAAGACAAAATAGTGGGAAAAAAGTCAAACCACTGAGATAGAAAAGACAGTCACTAGCCATTGGCCTGATCTCAGACTTTCATATTTTAATATAAAATATTCATACAGCTTACTATACCTCTGCTAGCCGAATACTGTTACTGATAAACTCTAGTCAACAGAAAAAATTCTCTCTTCCAATATCTATGAACAAAAAGTTTTAAGTTCAAACACTATTGGGATGTTGCTTTAGGGTAGGGAAATGTTGGATAAAGCAGGCAAGGAAACAGCATTTGATCCATCGTCAAATCAGATCACATTATCTGAAATCAAGTCTGTAGTCTTGTGAGTGTTCCTCTTGAAAGGTATTTTTGTTGCAAATTACCCTGACTGCTGTTCCTGTACTGCAGTCTTTTCCCGCACTAGAAATAAACATTTCTCCAGTCTTTTGTAGTTGTGTGACTTCTTCAGTTAAGAGTTAAATAATTAATGTTCTAAAGAAGAGTTAAAAACCCAAAGTGCAGGCTAATGCCATGCCATCAGAGTGTCATGTTTCAGGGAGCTGGTTAATGTCTGTCAGTTTGGTATCATTCAGAATTGCCCGAATTCTCTCCAAAGAGTCAGCTTGTCGGATCCGCTCTAACTGCACCTGGAGAAATAATACAAAGCGATTAAGTGCTGGTGGCCCCTATGTTTCCTAGTTCAGTTAGTTTAGCAGAGATAGAACAAATTAATTCCACATAGAATTGTCACTTCAAAGAAGACAGCAAGAATAGTTAAATTTAAAAGCAATTTATCAAAGATTCTGCTAACAGACCTAGTAAAAGGTGCTTGGACTATGAACACAAATGAGACTTAACCCTTTAGAATCCTCAGTTGAATTATAGGGAGTTTAAATATTACTGCAGGTATTCATCAAATACTAAGGCAGCACTGCTTGGGGACTAAGAGAAAGTACATGTAGAGGGCAAACAAGCTGTCTTAAAGGAATAGAGGGTAATGAAACACGGATGCTTCCTATAAGAAAACATACTGTGGCCAAGAAACCACCAGTTTTTTTTTTTTTAAGTGTAAAATGTGAGACAAAGAGGAACAAGATGGAGTAATTCTGATTGGGAAGGGTTTACCTGTTATGTCAAGTAGTTAATTAATACTCTATGAAGCAAAACCAGAAGGGTATAGAGGGAAAGGAAAAAGGTCTGAAGTACAAACTCTGACTTGAATGGCCAAGCAGATATTTGGAGCCAAGGTAGTGGATAGCCACAGTCTCTAAACTTTATATTTTCAGTAATCAAGTAGGGAACTATGAATTTCTCCGGAGTACAAAGACCCGCCCCACCTCCAATCCCCAACTCCCGAAGCCCCCATGCTTCTAGAGGTTCCCCCAAAGAGCTCACCTGAAGGGTTTGAGAAAGCTTAACAAAATCTCTCTGAACTTGTTCGCTGACATCAAGTTCTGTCTGCAATCTCTGGGCTTTGTTCTTCTCTTCAAACATTAGTTGTTCAACAGTAGCCTGAAGGTACAAGTTTTAAATGAGAATGTCAAAGAACCCTGGGTCTGAACTACTTAGGAAATCTAGAGGAGACTTGTAATTTTCAAACACCAAAATACATGTGCCTCATATTCCTATATTCTATTCATTACGCTTTAGAGATCAAGGATGCAGTCCTAAGCAATAAGTCCAGAATTGGAGTTAGTGTGAAAGAATGAAAAAAAAAATATGTGATGCACCTCCTCCACCTGAATTCTCACCCCTAGCAATCTGGTGACAGCAATGAATCATAAAAAACTGACATACAGTGGATTTTTTTCTGGTAATTACAATGTCCTCAGTAAAGCATCTGTCAGGAAAGTTCTCAATGAAAATGACCCCAACTATCACTAATCTTCCTTACAGAGGTAAAACAGCAGGGCTTTGGTGGCAGTCTTGCTATGACCTCAGTGTTTTTCAAATAAAGGTATGACCACACAGCCGCTGAGGTTTCTAGGAAACCACCCCACATTTCATGACTACTGAAATATCGATTAATTTCCAAATAAATAATTATTTCAGTTAATACATGTTAACTGGTCAATTTCATGTCTCACACGTAATTTCATTCTAACTGGATTAAACTAAATTCACACAGCAAGTACAGTTCAAAGCAGACAAATCAAGTGAACACCCCTTTCAAAGCCAAGCTTCTAACTATAGGCAGTACCAAGTTCATGGCCCTTTCAGCCAAACACCTAAAATGTTTACTGGCCTCTGACACAGGCCTGCACCACTGGCAAGTGTGCAGATCTGTCTCAACTCTGATGAGATCAATTAATTTCTATAAGCAGCAAGACTTGCCAACTTTTCAATATTGCACTAGTCAAACAATAAGATTTAAAAGATAAGATGTAATTCCCCCTGCTTAGTACTGTTTTTAAATTAAATTACCAATAAAAATATCACCTTAGGGACTGGAGAGCCAGTACACTGGGTAGGGTGCATGCCTTGCATGCAGTCCACCTGGGTTCAATTCTTGGCACCCATATGATCCCCTGAGCATCTCCAGAAGTTACCCCTGAGCACAGAGAAAGCCCAAAAATGTATATGTAGATAAAGATACAAATATACACATATGTCACCTTTGCAGCAGTCTCTTTCTTTAATTGTTCTTCCAAAGTGATTTTCATCTCCTGAAGGCTCTCAAGCTGTTGAGACTTCTCTTGTAATGTCACCTCCAGCTGTGAAATTAGAAAAGAAAAAGTATAGAAACTGCCTGGACAAAACTGTGGTCTAGAGAATTATACCCAATCCCAATGCCTTGGGCTCAGTTTATACATGTTTTAGAATGTTTTAGATCTCTGCAGATCTTGTAACTTTCTCTCATAAAACACTTATCAGTTTCTATTATATTTTAATATCTAGGATGGAGAAATCAAGAAAGATATGTAAATAATTAGAGTAGGTAAACATGGAGGAAGAAACTAATTCTGCCAAAATGTTGGGAAGGACTTCCTTGGAAAAATGGTATTTGATGTTAAAGATAAAAAATTTAAGGGGAAGTAAAAGGTGGTAAGGGTGAGAAAGGTAAAGATCCTCGAAAGAGGGAGCATAGAAAATGAGCTCGGGGCCAGAAGGATAGTACAGAGGTCAAGTCACTTGTCTTGCACAAGGCTGATGATGGTTTGGTCCCCGGCACCTCAAATGGTGCTGCGAGCAGAGTCAGGAGTGATCCCTGAGCACCTAACCAGAATGAAGCTCAAAGGACTGCTGGGTGTGGCCCAAAAAACACACAAAAAAAGTATGTGACAGTTCAATTGACTGAGTGCATGCTTTGCATGCAAGAGAGTCTGGGTTCTATCCTAGTACTGCATGATTCATGAAATGAACCAATTCAGAGCATGTAACAAGGATAGTTACATGAGAACTGCCAACTGTAGCCTAAAACCCAGAGGGAAAAAAAAAAGTTCAGGAACTAGTGATTTTGCCTACCCTGTAGCAATGGTATGCCAGGGCTCTGGAAGCTAAGACTGAGAAGCAGGATGTCTTGGTTGGCCTCCAAGTGGAGTGGGGGACTGAAGAGATGGCTCAAAGGGTGGGAGTACATGCCTGCATGTGAGATCATGAGTCTCTAAGCACAGCTGGATGGGATACAAAAATAAATAGTAAGATAGGAAAAGAAATAAGGATTCGATCTTGAATATAAAGGGAACCACTGGATGTTTTTAATTAAACAAAGAGTTATGTGTAATTTTTAAAGCTCACTTTGATTTCAATGTGACAATAAATTAGAAGGGGACAAGTTTTTGAGCCAGAAAAAGAAGTTAGAATAAGCCAAGGCAGAACTGAAGTACCCCACAAAGGCAATGTGAGTGGAAAGAATGGGGCACATTTAGTTGCTGGTAATTTCTGACTGGGCAATCTTGACATAAAGTAAAGGCTGAAGCCAGACTGCTGTGGGGTGAAGGGTAACACGGAGGCTAGGCAGTGAAGATTATATATATACACATACATACACACACATATATAATGTGTGTTTATTTATTTATTTATGTATTTGGTTTCTGGGCTATATCCAGCTCAGGGATGGATGGAACCAAGGTCAGTCATGTACCCTACCAGTTGTACTATCTCTTCAGCCCCATATTATTTTTGATAATATTCTTTCAAGAACCATGGTTTATTGAGGGATGTAAGTACTGGTGACTTGACAAGTGCTATCCAAAGAGAAACTTTTATCCTCTTAATAGGAGGCATCTTACTATTTTATACTTATTAGAAAAGACCAGTGAAAAAGTGTAAGTTCAAGGCTCACAACAGAAAAGCGTGAAAAGATGACTGAAAAAGACATGATTCAGACCTTCTGCCTGCTGTTCTGCCACTCTAGGAGAGGTTGCCTTGGGCTGACATCTCTGTCTGTACCCCAGAAGGGAGGCAGGGCCCCTCCGTACCAGGTGGGTCCTAACAGCACCCCCCCATCCCACTTCATCATTATTAAGTGTGCAGCTGCTTATGTGGGCCATGCAACAAATTTATCTACTCAACAAATTACATGCTCCCAGTTATGTTTCATGTTAATCAGTGAGAATGGGCAGAGAAGAAAGAGAGCAATTCCCAGACTATTCCTCAGCAACCTTCCTGGGAATCTAACTACAGTCACTAGAAAATCAAAAGGGAAAACATGTAGAAAGTCCACTAAGTTCAATGAATGAAAACAATATGACCGAAGACATAAACAAAACCAACCAGCTTAGTAAATTCTCAGACAATGTCTTTAGTGATAGCATGATGCAAACTCAAAGAAATGATGGTACAGTTAGCAAAACTTAACAAGGTGTTAAGAGTTAAATGAGAAAACTACTACAGCCAGAAATACCAGAAATGAAAAGCATGGTAGATATTAGAAAACCTCAAAAGAAGCCCAGAAGAGCAGAATAACATAGCTAAACCAAAGATCAAGGAGTTCCAAATGAGGAGGAAGCCACTAGGGATAGAGCAGAAGGTGGAAAATAGTCTGAAAAGAAATGGACGGCACACCAGAGAACTACGGGATGAGTTCGAGAACAGTGTAAGAATCCCTGGAGGGAGATGCCACAGCAGCTGAGTGTTCAGAGGCAGGCCTGATCCCTAGGTCTAGATCTCTGGAGCCTTCTCAGGATGGGGACGGGCCAAGTACACGCCATGTTGGAAGGAACAGTGTTCCACACATACACAACCTCCTCTGGCATATAAACGGCTCAGCTCTGAGAAATGTCCAGCTGATGAATCATTCTAGTTCCACAGTTCTTGGAGTGCACAGCTATATATGCAGCAGTGACCCCTCCAAATTTCACGGTACTGACAATCCAGTCGGAGAGTAGGAGCGCCGCAAATTACATGGGAAAGTTGCACAGAAGTCCACTCCACTCAATGAGCAAAACCAGTAATATTGAAGGCTAACACATAACACCTCAGTAAATTCTCAATGACTTTAGCAACACCTTTATGAGATACATGTTATAACAAACAACATAAAGTTAGTTATTTTGGCTTGGAAGGCATGGGGGAAACCTGGGGACACTAGTGAAAGGAAGGTATCACTGGTGGTGAGACTGGTGTTGGAACACTGAGTACCTGAAACAATTGTATTATGAACAACTTTGTAAAATTACGGTGTTTAAAGTTTCAAACATTAAAAAAATAATCATCAGTCCTTGAAGAACAGGAAGGCAAATGTGATAAAACAAACAACACACACACACACACACATACAAATAGTGGGGCCAGGATGATAGTAAGTAAAGCAGGTAGAGCATTTGCCTTGCATGTAGCTGACCAAGGTTCAATGTTCAATCCTCAGCATCCCATATGGTCCCCTGCGTACCACCAGTGGTAATTCCTGTGTGCAGAGCCAGGTGTAACCCCTGAGCATCGCCATGTGTGACCCAAAAAGCCAGAAAAAAAAATCATTAACTAAATTTCCTCACAGTTGAGGAATATAGGTAGCAGGATCCAAGAGGCCCAAAGGGTACCAGTAAAAACAGATCTACCTAGGACAACTGTAAGACATACACTCAAAACAATAAAAATCCAGATAGACACAGAATATTGAAAGCAGCACAATAAAAACAAAAACTTACATACACAGCTGTACAGCAAAACTATCAAATGAGACTTTATGAGCCAGAAAGTAGCAGTGTCCTCCTGTTGTTCATCGATTTTGCTTGAGTGGCCACCAGTAACGTCTCCATTGTGAGACTTGTTGTTACTGTTTTAGGCATATTTAATAAGTCACGGGAAGCTTGCCAGGCTTTGCCGTTTGGGCAGAATACTTTCGGTAGCTTGCCAAGCTCTCTGAGAGGGACAGAGGAATCAAACCCGGGTCGGCTGCGTGCAAGGCAAATGCCCTACCCGCTATGCTATCACTCTGGCCCAGCCAGAGATTATGGAAGAAAATAAGTTTGTTTATTCAACAAAATAAACACCTCACCAAGAATACTCTATCCAGCTTTACTATCATTCAGATCTAAAGTAATGATATAGAGCTTCATGGACAGGCAACAGCTTAGGGAATTCATAAACTTGAAACCAGTTTTGCAAGAAGCGTTAAAAGAACTCCTTTAAAGGATGAGAAAAACTTCTCAACGTGTGGCATTGAGTGTGGTACTCACTAATGGTGCATATAGATGTTCCCTACTAGATTAAGAAAGATTTAAAACAGAGCAATCAATCATCACAAAATGGTTCTTATTGATTAATTGATTGCATCTGCCATTCCTTTAAGTTTTGTTGGAACAGTAGTATGAAATAAATCTGTTGTATACTTCCCAAAAGCGGGCACAATGGAGTAGTGGGAGGGGAACCTGAAGACACTGGTAGAAGGAAGGAACACTGGTGGTGGAACTGGTGTTGGAATATTGTATGTCTGAAACAATTCTATTATGAACAAATTTTCAAACCATCGTGTCTTAATAAAGTCTTTTTTAAAAAGAATATTCCACGACTGAAACCCAATCATGAATAGTTTTGTAACTGTCTCACTGTAATTCAATTAAAAAACAAATTACAAAAAAAGATGTGAGGGATTCAGTCAAAAATCACAAGTGCATTAACAGAAGATCTGTCGCAGAGAAATTATTTTTTTTCTTAAGAAACAACTTAAAGAGAAGCTGAGAAGAAAAGAAAGAGCAAGGATGCAAAGCCAATGACTGCTGTGAGAGAGAGGATGAAATGGTAACTGTAACAGTCATTGTCAGTAAAGGTCACTGCATCAATAATGAGGCCAAGTTATTGAATAAGGCCATTTACCCAAAGTGTTCTAGTTGTTAAAGAGAATGCTAGAGCACTGGCAGAACTAGCCCCTATAACAACAGTTGGGAGGTGGGAGTGAGTGGGGGGAGGTCCTGGTGGGGAGGAGAGAACACAAGAATACTGTAAGTCAGTTAGAATGCATCATTTCCTTTCTGTAAAAGATTCTGTATATATTTCTACTGTAGCATTTCACAGATATCATATCACAAGCATTATCTTATTATAGTGGAAACTCCAGGCTACAGTCATATCTTAGTCTTCCCTGTCCCTCCTTCTGTCCATGATTTCTTAAATTTTCTCCACTTGTGACCCCTTTTTCATCTGAAGAATGCAATACAGGCAATTATGGCCAGAAATGCTTGGATTCATTACATGTTCAAGTCTGAACTGATTTCTGGCTATTGGGCACTCAGAAACCTTTTACTGTTGCCTTCCGAAACTACCCCCCCGCCCCTGTGATTCACACATTCAGCTATTGATCCACAATTTAAAAAGTGAGAGTTTAGTCAACACATGGCCTAGCAAAGCAGACTCGATAAAAGGTTTCATCTTGTATCATCATGCCTTTACCTTTCGGTCCTGCTCCCTCTAGATGAAAATTCCTTAAGAGCAAGGACTTTTTTGTCTATTTTATTTTATATATCTTGAGTTTGGGGCTGGAGCAATAGCACAGCAGTAGGGCGTCTGCCTTGCACGCAGCCAACATGGCCGACCCGAGTTCGATTCCTCCGCCCCTCTCGGAGAGCCCGGCAAGCTACCGAGAGTATCTCGCCCGCACGGCAGAGCCTGGCAAGCTCCCCGTGATGTATTCGATATGCCAAACACAGTAACAACAAAGTCTCCAATGGAGACGTTACTGGGCCCGCTCGAGCAAATCGATGAACAACGGGAGGACAGTGATATACAGTGATCTTGAGTTTAACACAATTGTAGTCAATAAATAATAGTTGCTAGCAGAATCAGTTTGAAACTCATGACACTCACCTGTCCTTTTTCTATCTTTATTCTTTCTAATTCAGCTTTTAGGCTAGAAATGGAGGCTAGATGAGAAAAAGAGAGGTAAGTATTACGATGTATTATTATGCATTAGAAATTTTTGTCCTTAAAATACTCTCATCACAGTCTCTTCAAAGAAGTCGTACAAACAAACAGTGAGGGGGCAGGAACATTCAACCAGATGCTTTTCTGAAAATCATTCCCGATTAATCAGTATCATCACCAAGCTCAGATAACGGCACATTTTGTCATAAAGTACCTCAATAAAATACCTACATAACTCTGTGGGATGGAAGGCGAAAAAGATATTCATGAAGAACATTATCAAAGCCCTACAAGAAAATGACACTCATACAAGGAAGTCATCAGCTCTCCTGTTAAAATCACTTTTTTCTGTTATTTTTTTAACTCACAATTACTGAATTTATAATCTAGGAAAATAACCTATTTGTTATTTTCTATATTTTCAATTCCTCCGTCCCTCTTGGAGAGCCCAGCAAGCTACCGAGAGTATCCCGCCGGCACAGCAGAGCCTGGCAAGCTCCCCATGACGTATTTGATATGCCAAAAAAGTAACAAGTCTCACAATGGAGACGTTACTGGTGCCCGCTTAGCAAATCCATGAACAACGGCAGGACAGTGCTACAGTGTCTTCTATATTCCATGACATATATTATTTCTTATAATTAAAGTTGTAGTGCCTCAAAATTAAAACTACATCACTTTTATCTTCACCTATTTCTTCTTTGCAGTTTTCTATTTCTAGCTGCAGAGTTTCTTCAAGATTTTCTTTTAAACACTGTTCTGCTTGAATCTGCTCTTTCAGAAAAAGTATTTCAGCCTTCAGCTTTTCTTCCATGTGGTCAGCTGCTGTCCGCACATTAACAATGTTCTCGCGATATTTTAATACCAACTCCCGGAGAGCCTGGATTTAAAAAAACAAAAAAGGTTATTGGGTTTGTGGACGTGACAGAAAACAAACAACAACAACACACAAAAAAACAAAGCTAAAGGTCTCCTGCAATCAGAATTTCAGATGTTTTCAATGGCTGAAAATCTAAGACGTTGAACTCTAATGCACTTAGGGGTTTCAGGAGGCTGGGCCTTGCCATGATTACATTCGGTTTGTTTTAGAAAAGAGACATTTCCAGTCAGTATGTACGTGAACCATCTATTTTCTTTCAGAACAGCCTTATAAGGTAAAGGTAAAGGTAAAGGCCCTCCCGTTGATCGTCGATTTGCTCGAGCGGGCCCAGTAACGTCTCCATTGGAGACTTTGTTGTTACTGTGTCTGGTGTATCGAATACTCTCGGTAGCTTGCCGGGCTCTCCGAGAGGGGCGGAGGAATCGAACTCGGGTCAGCCATGTTGGCCGCTTGTAAGGCGAACGCCCTACCGCTGTGCTATCGCTCCAGCCTTATAAGAACATAAAAATATTAATTGATTTACAACATGAGTCATTATGAATAGCTGGGAATTTCTACTATTACCTGGTTAAATCTGAACTTAGTAAATAAGGACCAAAATGAGTGAAACTCAGAGGCAAATAAGTTTAAGAGGATATATTTAGGGACTGGAGCGATAGCACAGCACGTAGGGGATTTGCCTTACACACAGCTAACCCGGGTTCGATTCCCAGCATCCCATATGGTCCCCTAAGCACTGCCAGGAGTAATTCCTGAGTGTAGAGCCAAGAGTAATCCCTGTGCATTGTCAGATGTGACCAAAAAAGAAAAAAAAAAACAAAAAACAACAAAAAAGGGGGGATATATTTAATTTACTTACTCATGTATTCTAATATTTGTTGAAGCATTCACCATCAGCAAAGTATTATGTTATATGCCTGCCAGGGGTTGCTGGCTGTGGGGTGGAAGTGCACCTGGGAACACTGGGACTGCATTGGTGGCACAGAAGGCAAAGAATATCTATGACGAACAACTGCTTTTCTACAATAAATTCTGCTAAGGTCTTTTATTTCTCTAAACTTGGAATATTTTGGTTATTCAAAGAAACAAGAAAAATAATAACAAAAGAAGAGGGCAACTGATAAACTGTAATCACAAGGAAAAACACCTTAAGGTTACTGAAATGGGTCAAAGAATCAAGGCCTCTAAACTAGTTACATCCTTTAAGGATTTTTGTGGATTCCACCCCTTCCCCCCCCGCCCCCCAGCCCCGGGATTTGAGCCACACCCAAACAGGGCTTGCTCTGGCTCTGCACTCGGGATCACTCCTGGTGCGACTTGGGGGACGGACCATATGGACTGAATTGGTGACTGAACCTGGGCCAGCCTTGTGCATATCAAGGACCCTACTCACTATACTACATCCTTCTGACCCCAGTATTCTTGCACTTCTTTTAAAATAAGAGAAATCAAATCTCCAGAGCATATGAAAGAGAGGCATCTTTTTCTACCTAAGGAGAAAATTTTTAACAAAAGTAGAAAGTGGTATGCTGACAACAAAAGGCTGAAAGCTTTCTTTTTGATGCAGTCATTCACCAGTTCAGAAAGGAGAGAGCTCCCTCTAGAGTGCTCATTACCCGTGCTGAGACAACACAAGTGAGCTAGAGGTGGGTAACAGAACGAGGAGATAAAGTTTATAAAGCATACATTGGAGTCCTGATAAATGACTAAAATAAAACAAACAAACATAAATCAAACATTGTTACTTTGTATATGGAGAAAAGAACGAGATCCAAGTTTTAGAGGCTAACTCTGCCTGGGGAAAACTGTTGTAAACAGTTTCTGTAAATTTCTTTGTTGTGTTGTTCCTTTGGGGGCCACACAAGGCAGTGCTCAGGGCTTACAACTAGCTCTGGGCTCAGTGATCAGTCCTGATGTACTTGGGGAATGATTTGGATTGTTGGGGATCAAACCCGGGCTAGCTACATGCAAAGCAAGCACGCTACAGGTTGTACCATCACTCTGGCCCCTACGATTTTGGTTTTTAAATAAATTTGACAATTACAATTTCTTTTTTTTAAAAGAAGAAGGCTCTTCAATAAGCTGCCAAGCTGTCAAATCATCCCAGGTAGATCATTCTCTGGACTGAAAACTCTATCACGTTCTTGGAATAGGGGTGGGCAGACTTCCCTCCTTTCAGGACAGGTCCAGCAACTGCCACACCAGCCATATCCAGAATACAAAATGACTCAGCTCCGAAGTGCAAGGCAGCTTGACGCCTCCTCCAAATTTTACAATATGAAGAACCCAGTAGGAGCATAGCAAATTCGATGAGAAATTGTGTAGAAACCCACTAAGTTCAATGAGTGAAAACAACACAGAAGGCTCAATCAGCACTAACCTGTGTACTAAATTCTCAGATACCCATTTAGTAACAACATTGTGAGATCATCTCAAATTGACTTTTACTGATCTATTTCTTGAATATTCCACCTACCATTTTGTTGTAACAAGCAAAACAAAGTAAATTTGTTTGTCCCTGATAAAGGGGGCAGAAACTAGGGATATTGGTAAAGGAAGGCTCACACTGATGAGATTGGTGATGAAACACTGTATGTCTGAAACATCTGCATTACTGCATTATAACTTTGTAAAACACAGTGTTATCACTGTCACTGTCCTCTCGTTGTTCATTGATTTGCTGGAGCGGGCCCAGTAACATTTGAGACTTGTTACTGTGTTTGGCATATCGAATACATCACGGGTAGCTTGCCAGGCTTTGCCGTGCGGGCAAAATACTCTCGGTAGCTTGCCGGGCTCTCCAAGATGGGCGGAGGAATCGAAGGTGGAGGAATTAAACTTGGGTCAGCTGGGTGGGCCGCGTTCAAGGCAAACACCCTACTCGCCGTGCTATAGCTCCAGCCCCACAGTGCTATAATAAATAAAAAAGAATCACAATATTTTTCTATTGTTTTGAAATTTCCTCTAAGAAATCTAATTTCTGCCTTTACTGTTTATAGTGTTTACCTGAATTTAACCTAATTTTTTTTTCTTTTAGGGTCACACTTGGCAATGCACAGGGGCTACTCCTGGCTCTGCACTCAGGAATTACTCCTGGCAGTGCTCAGGGGACCACATGGGATGCAGGGAATCAAACCCAGGTTGGCCACATGCAAGGCAAATAAATACCCTACCCGCTGTATTATGCCTCTAGCCCCCTAAGATAATATTTTTATGTTAAAATCTTTTAAAATGTATTCTGAGGAAAAAAGTTAAGAAATGAAAGGAAAGGATAGTTATAAATGTCTGAGAGAAAATTCTGGCCTTGCAACTCAACCAACCCAATCCAACTAAGATTCACCCAACCAAGTTTACTCAAAATGGAAGTGACCAAAAGCATTGAAAGTCATTGAAAGGAGAGTGGGTGTTCTTTACCTTTTAAAGTGCTAGAGAATCAAAGAAATAGCTCAAAGGAATTGATCCTCAGTATCACATGATTTCCCCAAGGAACCTACCCACCATTAGCACGACCAGTATGGCCCTAAAACCAAATATATAAAGTGCTAGACAGACAAAAACCTCAAGAATCCAGCTACGGATCCCTGCAAACATTTAACTTCTTATGCATTTTCAATCTGGTTCTGCCAGAATAACTTTTCAAACCTTCAGTTTGGCAAAAACAAAACAAAAAATGGGGGTGGGGGGGTGGAGGGATGCTGGGAGCATGGGAGGTGGGAACGGGCACCGGTGGAGGGATGGGTACTCAATCATTGTATAACTGAAACTCGAGCACAAAAATCTGTAAGGTCAACAACTGTACCACATGGAGTTTCACTAATAAAATTTAAAAAAGGAGTTCTCAAAAAAAAAACCTGTTTTTAAGAAAAATTTACAGATGTTTCAGGAAATAGATATGTTTACAATATTCTTTAATCACGTGGAAAAATAAGTTACCTCTACAGCATCTGGTAGAATGAAGTCTTCTGCTTGCTGTAACGACACATGCAAGCTATGCTTACCCTGAAGACTGTCATTATCTTTCTGTAACCTCACCAGCTCTTCAGAGACCTGTTCTCGTGACTGCATCAGCACTGCCTGAAATAGAAACAGATTCTAATCACAGCCCCAAAAGGGCAAATTGTATTTGATAGTTGCATCAGAATAAAACCATGTTCAAACTACACAAGGGTTAGAAAAAACAGTACAATACAAAATTCTGTAAGCAATTTCAGATTTATTTTCTGCCTTTACATATATCTAGGGGGACAACGAATAAGTATCTGACCAATAGCTTAGAAGAAATGATTCTTTCTTCATGCACATCTATCCCTGAACTATGGAAAGACCAGTATCTCTAGCTCAGCAGAAGTAGCTGATACAATCAAGATCTATAATCAAACAGAGCATGTACTTCAAAAATAATTCCTTATTTCCTCATGACATACATCTAACAGAAAGTAGAGAGAAACAACATGAGTCATCTTCATCTTTTTTTGAACTTAGGATCACTGCGAATGGTCCCGGATCCCTAAACAGTGACTGAGGTTCATTCTGGGGTGGGGGTGGGGTGCTACACGTGGTGGTGCTCAGCAGCTATTCCTGACGCTGCTCGGGCATTGCTCCCAGCAGTGCTCAGGAGATCATGCATGCTAGACTTGTGCTTCAACCCTCTGAGCTCTCTTTATGACCTTTCATCTTTCAACCTGAGCTGAAGGCAAATCAAGATACTGATCCACAGCTGGAGAGAAAGTTCAGGAATTAAGGTACATGCAGGGCTGGAGCGATAGCACAGCGGGTAGGGCGTTCGCCTTACAAGCGGCCAACATGGCCGACCCGAGTTCAATTCCTCCGTCCCTCTCGGAGAGCCCGGCAAGCTACCGAGAGTATTCGATATGCCAGACACAGTAACAACAAAGTCTCCAATGGAGACGTTACTGGGCCCGCTCAAGCAAATCGACGATCAACGGGAGGGCAGTTGACCAAGGTCTGATTCTAGTAACAGCATATGGTCACTCAAATACAGACAGAAGTGAACCCGGAACACAGGCGTAAACTCTGAACACACACCTAGGATTCAGGTGTGCCCTAAATCCTAACACTGCCACCACCCCACTGACAAGAAAGAAACAAAAAAGATACTGATCTAATACCAACACAAGCCCACTGCCTTGTAATCTAGGGCCATATCTGCCCTTCACCCTTAGAAAATCTGCATAAGATCCAGCTCTTTACGGTCAATCCAGCAAAACTAATTCTGCTATAGTTTGCAAAAGGCAAATGATAGGAAGGATGACGGGGAAAGGAAAGAACGAGGGAGGGATAAATTGAGCCAGATTAGTAAGAAATGAGGCCCAAAACTGGGGAACCGACACATCAACCAACTGCCCTCTAATAACTCTCAAAAATGGTCTTCTGGAAATTTCTCTTCACCACAACAATTTCTATATATGTTTCAATGAAATCCATGGGAAACGAATAAAATTTCTTTAAATAATTTTAGGAAAAGCACAATGATTCCTCAAAATTTGCACCTATTAGAGTTTTGAGAGATTTCTACTTTTATTTGGAACTGAAAAATCATGATCGAAAGTATACTGTTTTAGTTATCCAAATAAGAAAAGTAAGTTAAAAAGGTTTTGGTCAAGAAGTAGGTCTTGGGGGTATGGTGCCGCCAGCAGGTCAATCTGTACCTGTGATGCGAGTGCATCAGCAGCCTGATGGTACCTTCAGACTTCCAGGCACCCCAAAATTGCTGCTGCGCCTTTGGCCAGACCCCAACAACTTGGGGCCAAGTTTACCAAGAAAGTAAACGGCCAAAGTATGTGGGAGACACACCCACAAACCACCTCCAGCTCAGCTTATATAATCTGATTCCTGATCAACCTGCTCAACGGCCATGATCCCAGAGACTCAGAAACAAATCTCAGAACCCAGCGGCTTTTGGCAGAAGTGCATCTGGTCCCTGCAGTAGGTTACTGGCGCCAGGCCACCCCAGGTGGGAATAGGTTTAGTTCCTTGGTCTGTTCCCTCTGGTGGCTCAGCAGCTGCCACCCTTCAGAGGCCACTGGACAGTCAGGTTTGGGCCCACAGTAACGAGACACACGGGGCCTCATGGGATGGGGGTAGAGCTGGCCCAATCCTCCCCACCCAAGGAGTACCCGAGTCGCTGCCCATGAACGACCTCTCTGGCTCCTTGATCAAGCTGCTTAACGGCCATGATCCCAGAGACTCAGAAACAAATCTGAGAACACAATGGCTTTTCGCAGAAATGCATTAGGTCCCCGCGGTAGGTTACCGGTGCTGAAGGGGGGAAAAGGTGCTGTCCCTCTGCCTAATCCCTCTTAGCGGCTCAGTGGCCACCATCTTCCAGGGGCCACTGGACAGTCAGGTTTGGGCCCAGAGTGACAAGACACACGAGGCCTCGTAGGATGGGGGTGGAGTAGGCCCTTTCCTCCCTACCCCAAAGAGAACCCAGAGAATCCGAGTCGTTGCCTACAAATGGCCTCTCTGGCTCCTGAACAAGCTGCTCAATAGCCATGATCCTAGAGACTCAGAAACAAATCTCAGAATCCAGCAGTTTTTCGCAGAAATCCCTCCAGATTTAATTGTTAAAATTTTGGAATTTCAAAATCGCGCGGCCACAGGCGTGACATCATACGTTATTCATAACCAGCAATAGAAAACAAATTGTCTACGGTTGCCTTTTCGGCAGATCTGAGTTTTGGGGTAAAATCCCAAATAATAATGGTGGGTCTGGTGTCAAAATACTGAATGTAATCAAAGTAGAGAGAGAGTAATGTGGAAATCATCTGCCCCACAGGCAGGGGGAGGGTGTGGGATGGAGGATATACTGGGGTTTTTGGTGGTGGAAAATGGACACTGGTGAAGGGACAGGTGTTTCATCATTGTATGACTAAGACTTAAACCCGAAAGCTTTGTAACTGCTCTCATGGTGATTTAATAAATAAATTTATAAAAAAGGAAAAAAAGTAAGGTGGAGTTCTTGCCCAATTCAATCAGTCTAATCAATGGCTGAATAAATAGCAATACTCCTACATTAAAAAAAAAGTAGGTAAAAAACAGCATCTCTTGATACAATCTTACCTATTACTAATGTTTTATAGGTCCCAAGGAATATAACCATAACCACTTTGGTCAGGGAGCTAAAATCATATCTAAAGATGATAGGAAAAAAAGGAACACATTTAAGAGAATAAACGTTATTTAAATATTAACTTACCATCTGTTCCTGAACATCCCTCTTTGCTTGGGAAAACCCCTGTTGTAATTCTTCAAGCAAAACCTCAGATGCTTGGGCTTTCAGGACAAGTGCAGATATCTTAAAAGAAAAAAGAACACATTTTTTCAATATAGAAAAAGAACTTCAAAACCAGTTACTCTAAAAGTAGTTTTTCTATCTTCTGTCCCCTTAATGTCCATAACTGATGTTTTATTAATTCATTTTAACCCATTCACCACTTATTCAATAGATATGTGTGCCTCTCCAATGTACTGAGGCATTGGTATTTTAGATAATGCAAGATGGTACCAAAGGCTCCAGGCTCAGACATGATCAGATCATTCTGTTAGTCTCTAGACAAAGATACTAATCCATGTACCATCATTATAAACTCTTTTTAGTAAGTAAGTAAGTAAAGGCCCTCCCGTTGATCATCGATTTGCTCGAGCGGGCCCAGTAACGTCTCCACTGGAGACTTTGTTGTTACTGTGTTTGGCATATCGAACACGTCACGGGGAGCTTGCCAGGCTCTGCCGTGCGGGCGAGATACTCCCGGTAGCTTGCCGGGCTCTCCGAGAGGGGCGGAGGAATCGAACTCGGGTCGGCCATGTTGGCTGCGTGCAAGGCAAACGCCCTACCGCTGTGCTATCGCTCCGGCTCTTTTTAAGCTTTAAAAAAGGGCCAGAGAAGCCGAAGAGAGAGTACAAGGCTAAGCTGCTTGCTTATTTTGTGATTGACCCTAGTTCAGTATCCAGGAACACATATGGTCCTCAGAGCCCTCAAGAAGTGACCCCTGAATAAAGAGCCAGGAGTAAGCTCTGAACACAGCTAGGCGTGACCCTCAAAACAAACAAACAAACAAACAAAAAGGGTGAGCAGAGAGATATAATAAGGGTTGGGGAGCATGTAAAGCATGTAGCAATCCCAGTTCAATTCCATATATCACATGATCCACAGGCACTGCTAGGGTGGTCCCATATGCTCCAGCAATGCAGAGTCTGAGCACCAATGCATCCTTGGGCTGAGAATTGAGCCACCTAGCCCAGTCAGCCAAATACCACCTGAAGTAGTCCCAGGACCCCTTGAGCATCCCATTGGGAGCTTTCTGTTGCCCTCTCAAAAGCTAAAAAATATGGGGCCAGAGACAGGCGCAGGTTTGGCGCTTGCCCTGAATGGTCCATACAGGTTCAATTCCTGGCATCCCATATGGTCTCCTGAGCACTGTCAGGAGTAATTCCTGAGTGCAGAGTCAGGAATGACCCCTGAGCACATCCACGTGTGGCCCCAAAAACAAACAAAAAAAGGAGCTAGAAAATATAAATTGAAAATGTCCTTCCCCCAACCCCCAGTAAAAAAAAAAGTATATAAAGTAACAAAATGGGAGAGCAACACCCAAGAATAGCTGAGATAAGTACCAGGAGGTTTACTCCATGGCTTGGAGGCCTGCTGCACACACTGGGGAAAAAGGCAGCTCAGAGAGAGAAGGGAACACCAAATAAAGGGTGTTGGGAGGATCCTCCCAGGATGGGAGAAGCATGCTGAAAAGTAGACTATAGACCGAACATGACTGCCACTCAATGCCTCTTTTGCAAACCACAACACCCAATAAGAGAGAGTGAACAAAAGGGAATGCCCTGCCACAGAGACAGGGTGGGATGGGGGGATGGGGGTGGGAGGGATGCTGGGATCCGTGGTGGTGGGAAATGGGCACTGGTGGAGGGATGGGTACTCGATCATTGTATAACTGAAACCCAAACACAAAAATTTGTAAGTCTACAACTGTATCTCATGGTGTTTCACTAATTAAAAAAAAAATAAGTCCATATTAATTAATCAAAATACAGGTAAAATAATATTATAAAAATGGGCCAGGGAGATAGCCCCTGGGCCGGGGCACTCTTTAGCTTCATATTCTAGAGCCCTGAGTATCATCACCTGCACCACATGGTTCCTCCAGCTAGGTGCTCCCTCCAAAAAATCAAATAAACAAAAGTTGGAAACTCAACCCAAGAATCTTTCAACTACTGGCCAAGGAGATAGTAAAGGGGTTAAGGAACCTGTCTTGTATGTAGCGGACTCAGGTAGAATCCCTGGTACCTGAAAGTACCACCAGGACCAACCCTTTAAAAGAGTGCCAGGAGTCGTCCCTGAGCCCACTAAGTGTAGCCCTAAGACACCTCTCAAAAAAATAAAAATCCATTAGTTGTAGAACGGATTAATGAATGATGATTCTCATGTTAATCATACAGTGATAAAATAGCTCATTGTAAAATATAAGATCACCTGATCACTTGATAACCAGTCACTCATAGATTTGCTTGAGTGGGTGCCAGTAACCTCTCCTTTTGTCCCTGTTACGTGCTACTGCAGCCCAATGGCGTCTGCTTGCTATAGGAACACAAAGAGCCTCAAACCGTTTGTTCAGAGTCTTGACAAAGAAGTCTGACCATCTCATAGGTAGGAAGCAACACGCTCTTTTGACGTCCCATGGAATCCAGTCAGTAACAGCTCTAGTCCAGTAGTCATCTTCAAATCACATTATGCGTGCAGTCCATCTGATTTTCGATGCCTTGGCAAATGAGACAGCGTCCCTGATTCTCGATCATCCATGGAGGTTGGAATTCCAGATTCCTTCTCTCACTTGAGTGAAGCATGATACTCCAAGCATAGCTCTTTTTTTTTTAATTTTTTTTCCCCCTTTATTTTATTTTATTGTTTTTTACAGTTGTAGATTTACAATTTTTTGTGCTTTGGTTTCAATTATACAATGATCAGATACCCATCCCTCCACCAGTGCCCATTTTCCACCACCATGGATAATATCCCTCCCACCCCCATTCCCCCATCCCCCCTGTCTCTGTGGCAGGGCAATCCCCTGTGTTCTCTCTCTCCTTTTGGGTGTTGTGGTCTGCAAAAGAGGCATTGAGTGGCAAACATGTTCAGTACATAGTCTACTTTCGACATGAATCTCCCCTCCTGGGAGGATCCTCCAAACATCCTTTATTTAGTGCTCCCTTCTCTATCTGAACTGCCCTTTCCTCTAGGATACCCGCTGGCCTCTCAGTTATGGAGTAATCCTCCTGGTGCTGATCTCAGCTATTCTTGGGTATTAATCTCATACTTTGTTACTTTATATCCCCCAGATGAATGCAATCTTTCTATGTCTATCCCTCTCTTTCTGACTCATTTCGCTTAGCATGATACTTTCCATGTTGTACCACTTGTATGTAAATTTCATGACTTCATCTTTTCTAACAGCTACATAGTACTCCATTGTGTAGATGTACCAAAGTTTCTTTAACCAGTCATCTGTTCTTGGGCATTCAGGTTTCTTCCAGTTTCTGGCTATTGTAAAGAGTGCTGCAATGAAGAAACAAGTGCAGATGTCACTTCGACTATACATTTTTGCCTCTCTGGGATATTCCCAGGAGTGGTATTGCTGGGTCAAATGGGAGCTCAATTTCTAATTTTTTGAGAATCGTCCATACTGTTTTCCAGAAGGGCTGAACCAGTGGACATTCCCACCAACAGTGAAGGAGTGTCCCTTTCTCGCCACATCCACGCCAGCATCGGTTGCTTTTGTTCTTTTGAATGTGGGCCAGTCTCTGAGGTGTGAGATGGTATCTCATTGTGGTTTTGATCTGCATCTCCCTGATGATTAATGATGTAGAGCATTTTCTCATGTGCTTTTTTGCCATTCGGATTTCTTCTTTGAGAAAGTTTCTGTTCATTTCCTCACCCCATTTTTGGATGGGGTTGGATGTTTTCTTCTTGTGGAGTTTAACCAGTATTTTGTATATCCTGGATATCAACCCCCTGTCAGATGTGTATTCGGTGAATATCCTTTCCCATTCTGTAGACTGTCTTTGTATTTTGGTCACTGTTTCTTTGGAGGTGCAGAAGCTTTTTAGTTTAAGATAGTCCCATTTATCTATCTCTGTTTTCACTTGCTCGGCCAGTGGCATGGCATCTTTGAAGATACCATTAGCTTCAATGTCATGGAGGGTTTTGCCAACTTTATCTTCAATGTACCTTATGGTTTCTGGTCTGATGTTGAGGTCTTTAATCCATTTTGATCTTACTTTTGCACATGGTGATAGGCAGAGTTCTGAGCCTATTTTTTTGCATGTAGCCGTCCAGTGATGCCAACACAATTTATTAAAGAGGCTTTCCTTACTCCACTTCACATTACTTGCAACTTTGTCAAAGATTAGATGAGCATATGATTGAGGGGAGATGTCAGTGTATTCAACCCTGTTCCATTGGTCTGCAGTTCTGCCTTTGTTCCAGTACCATGCTGTTTTAATTATTACTGCTTTGTAGTACAGTTTGAAGTTCGGGAGGTTGATTCCTCCCATTTTCTTTTTCCCAAGAATTGCTTTAGCTATTCGTGGGGGCTTATTGTTCCATATAAATTTCAGGAGTGTTTGCTCCATTTCTTTGAAGAATGTCATGGGTATCCTTATAGGGATTGCATTGAATTTATACAATGCTTTCGGTAGTATTGCCATTTTGACAATGTTAAGTCTCCCAACCCATGAGCAGGGGATATCTTTCCATTTCCTCATGTCCTCTTTTATTTCCTGAAGTAGTGTTTTGTAGTTTTCTTTGTACAGGTCCTTTACTTCCTTAGTTAAGCTGATTCCTAGGTACTTGATTTTCTGGGGCACAATTGTGAACGGGATTGTTTTTTTCATGTTGCTTTCTTCTCTCTCACTGTTTGCGTATAGGAAAGCCATGGACTTTTGGGTATTGATTTTATAACCTGCAACTTTACTATACGAGTCTATTGTTTCTAGGAGTTTTTTGGTGGAAGTTATTGGGTTCTCTAAGTAGAGTATCATATCATCTGCGAATAGTGAGAGCTTGATTTCTTCCTTTCCTACCTGAATGCCCTTAATATTATTTTCTTGCCTAATCGCTATTGCAAGTACTTCCAGTACTATATTGAACAGCAGTGCAGAGAGTGGGCATCCCTGTCTCGTCCCTGATCTTAGAGGGAAGGCTCTCAGTTTTTCCCCAAAAGTAAATTATCAGGGCCCGCCACATATCTGCCTGCAGCAGCTTCATACAAGACAAGTGTCTTTAATCAGTTTTGG